TCAGCAAAATATTTTTATATACATATTATAAACTAAAATTGCATTCTGATGCTTGAAATTCTATTCAGCATATTTTTTTAAAGACTTATTAAATTCTGAAATTTTTTTTAAATTTCATAAATTCTTAAAAAATTTTCTAAAAATTTAACATAAAATTATAATTCAGCATCACTTTTTAAGCAATTCAGCAAATGTTTTTGTAGTAATTTATACGATTTTGTAATGTTGTTATAAATTATTAAAGATGATTTAGCAAAAAAGTTTTTTAACTATTTCTTAAACATTTTCAAGAATTTTCTATAAATGTACCATAAAACTTATAAATCAGCTACTTTTTAAGCAATTCAGCAAATCTTTTTGCTAGAAATATATAAATTTTTATAAAAATTGTTATAAATTATTAACTAAAATAATTCAGCTTCTTTAAATGCCATTCAGCAATAATATATTAAAAACTTCTTAAATTCTTAAAAAAAATCTATAAATTTACTATAAAACCATAATTTATCTCCATTAAATATAATTCAGCAAAACTTTTTTCGAAGATTTATGGAATTATTAACTTAAATTGTAATTCAGCTGCCTGAATTGAAATTCAGCAAAATTTTTTTCAAAGATTTCTTAAATTTTATAGAAATTATCTATAAACTTACTATAGATAGATAACTCAGCTACTTTTTAAACAATACGGCAAAAAATGTTACAATAAAACTGTATTATAGGTGATTCCGCAAAATTTTTTTGAATTTTCTATAAAATTACAGTAAAACTTATAATTCAGCTATTATTTAAGCCATTCAGCAAACCATTTTGTAAGCAATATGTAAAGTTTTATTAAAGTTGTTTATTAACAAAAATTTTAATTCAGCTTAATTATGTTATTGCCCTTCAACAAAAATATTTTAAAATTTTCTTCTTAAATTTCTTAAAAAAAATTTCTATAAATTTAATAAAAAAACAATAATTTAGCTCCATTAAATGCAATTCAGCAAAACTTTTTTCGAATTTTTTTTAAGATTTCTTAGATTCTTCAAAAATTTTCTATAAATTTACCATACAACTAATAAATCCGCTACTTTTTAAGCAATTCAGCAAATATTTTTGTAAGAAATATATACAATTTTATTAAAGTTGTTATGAATTATTAACTAAAATTGTAATTCAGCCATTCAGCAAAAATATATTAAAAATTTCTTACAAACATTTTTATAAATTTACGATAACACTATATAGTTCAGCAAAACATTTGTCCGAGATTTATTGAATTATAAGCTTAAATTGTAAGTAAGCTTTTTAAATTCTATACATATTTTTCTATAAATTCACTATAAAACTTTAATTCAGCTAATTTCTATGAAATTCAGCAGAACTGCATTTTATTAATGTTTTCATAAATTGTAATTCAGCTGTTTGCAATGCCTCAAATTATAATTCAGCAACTTTTAAAGCCATTCAGCAAGCTTTTTTGTACTTCTTAAAATAGAAAAGTAAAAACCACAACAAACTAAAGACAAATTAGTAATGACATAAAGGAAAACTAAAGAAAAATGTTTTGCTAAATCAAGCTGCCACGAATCCGTCTTAAGTTCAAATAATTGAGAAGTCACGTTTTTAGATTTTTAACATTATGAAAAAAGTACAAAGATGAACTTTTCACACTCTAATTAAATTCTATATACCTAGTATCTTTAGAATCTTATAAGAATCTCTCACTTAAGGGTTAATTAAAGAAGAAAAAGAAAACAATAAAGTAAAACAGCAACAATTTTTGTGTTATAAAAGTCAATGACTTTGAAAAGGGTTAAATCTGTGGAAACAAACATAAAGAAACTAAGTAGATTTTCAAGAAAAATTGGTGACAGGTTTGTCAAACTAATCTGATAACAAAATAATTGTCCTGTAAATTTGACAAAGTTTTCTGAAAACAAATTAGTTGAAATTTTTTAAATTCTTCACTTATTTCTCTTATAAAAAGTATGCTTTTTTCTAAAATATATACTTTTTATTTAGGCGATTAAAGCTTGTGACCAGAAAAGTATACTTAGTAAAATATAACCCTAACTCACACCAATGAATGTGTAACGAAAAAAACAATGTCAAAATTGTCAAAAAAAAAAAAAAGAAAAAACTTCATATATAAAGAGAGGAAAAAAATATATAAATTGAAAGCGAGACCGGCCAAAAGACACAAAAAAAAAACGAAACAAAAGTGGAAAGGGAAAGAAAAAAATGTAAAACCGGCACTGATTATTGCCAACATGACTCACTCCATGAAATTCCAAAATGCAAGCACCTCTTAGCTGAAAAAAAGATGCCAGCACGAAGAAAACTTAACAAAGATAACCATTTTTCCAGCTACAATTTAAAAGTGAAATTTTCTGCTTTTTATATTAAAACTTACCTTTAAAGAAAACAGCTTTTTATTAAGAAAAATCCTTTCTTTTTTTGTAATAAATTTTTTCTTCAGCAAAAAAAAATCTATACAAAATTTTTCAATAACACTCTCACTTCAAGTTCTAGCTTTTAAATAAAATCTTTAAAATAGTTTTTCTGTACTTTTTTACACTTGAAATTTGTTTTTTTATTCGAAATCTTTGAATGACGAGTCGAAAGTTAAAGGCGCGTTCTTTACAATTTATGCTTTGTGCTGGAACTTCTTTGTGTCTCGTCTCTCAGCCGAGTTTTTTCTGTTTCTGCTTTTTTACTACTGGCTGTTGCGCTTTTTCGCACTTTTTTTATTACTTTAACACACACACACAAACACTCTCTTTTACACAGAGTACAACAACTTGTTTAAATGCTGCTTGTTCTTGTTGTTTTAACAAGTTTTTTTCGATTCTTTTTTTGTCTTATTGTGCGTTTTCTTTAATTGGATTTTGCTTTTTTCATATGCAAATAATGTATTTAAAAAACACTTGTTTTAATGTTTGATTTTGTTTAAAACAAAATTTGAATGGAATGGAAAAAGAAAATTAAGTAAATTAAACTTAAATGAAAATTAAAAAAACAAATCAAATTCCGTAGTGAAAAATGACACGACTTTTTGCAACTAGAAAATTAAAGAGAGCGGCAGAGATACAAGCCGATGCAAAATGATCAACGGCGGCAGTTCTACAATTTTTTGTCGACGGCGACGGCTTATTATAAAATTCATTGTCGACTCAATTTAACTTTTTCTTCAGGAATTGCTTTATAAGTATTTAATATTTTTAAAAATCTCTATATAATAGTCTGTTATATAGAAACCTGTCTAAAAACCAAATTGGTTGGAAAAAAATGTTAATTACTTCACCAAAAATTAAAAAAAAACGTTAAAAAATGGTTCGACAATTATCTAGTCGGCGAGTGCTTGCAATATATTACCGGCGCCCAGCTTTAAGTCCAATCGACTTGTAACTCTAGATAGCGGCGTATAAAGAAATAAAAAACAGAGTTGTTTTTTAAAAGCAGTAAAAAAGCAAACAATAATAAGGGAGATATTTTTATAAAAAAATCTATTAAAATAAATAGAATTTCTTATCAAAAGTATTACTAATAAACATATTTAATTTTAGTTAAATTATTAATGTTAGGTATTTTACATCTTAAACATTTATTGTACTACTATAAAAATTTTCGTACTTAATTAAACAACTATGCAATTTTTTCTTAAATAACGGTTCGCTACTTTTGACAGCATCAGTATTATTTTAGCGCTTTTTTCGGTCATTTCATTAGTTATTTGTGAAATAGTTAAGAATTTTTAGTAAAAGTGTTTATTAAATTATTTTAAAGTGTTATAATTCAAAATTGTATTGCTGTTTACTATTATCAAGTAAGTTGATGTAATTCAATTTGATTTTTATTACAAAAATGTTTGCATTTGAAAAAATCACCTTTTGTGCCAAATATCATACCTACAACTTTTTAAAGATCTTCAAAATAAGTTGAATTTCGTGATACAATCATTACCTTGTTATATTATGCTTAAATCATATTAATCTGTGATCGGTTACTGTTACTATACTGTTAACTATAAGACTGGAATGTACGAGGATATAGCGGTGTGTAGGTTAATGAAGTTGCGCACGAACTATTAAGATTAGATTCGAACCTTAACAAATGAAAATAGAAACTGGAGAGTGAAAACAACCATTTGTTACTATTATAGGTTGATCTTTGAGAGACTTCGGACATCAGCAACCAGTCTTGTAATAGAAAAATTGATTGCAAAATATCAAAGGCCCTTATGGCCAATACTTAATGTAAAGGCATTGCTCAATTAGTGTTTTTGTCAGTAAGTGGGAAAGTAATATATAGGACTTCTAAAGGTTATGCGAATATGCACAAGAACATTATGGATTGTGTCATAGCTCAGATTGAAATGGCTAGAAAATAGGCGATGAATTGGAACATATTGTGGAACTCAATCAGACTTTTTTCTAGAGAGATTCAGATTCACAGAACTATGACTTATTTAATAGTCATGAAAATGCTTCGCAGAACTCTTTTACATTCCTGATTGACGAAAATATGAAAAAGTTTAGTCAGTGACGGTATAGGACTCATAATTTTAAAAATTCAAATCAAAGAAAGAAGTTTGGAGATAATAAGTCTTTAGTCTAATCTTTTCAACTAAATAACTAGTTTATTATTTTGAAGTAGAGGAAAATATTGCTACAAATACAATTTCTCGAAATCGTGATGTGATAGATATATTTTGTTGTCCAGTGTAGTTATTCACTAGGGGGAACTTTCAGTGTAACTATTCAGTTGTCATGGAAAAGCGAAGTTGTTCGATTTGTTTGTGAAAGCTATCAATCATGAGACTTCTCCAGTCTAATTACATTAGTGTTCTGTGAGCTTTATTTGTCGAGCGTTTACAATTTGCAGTCGGTTCTATGTGTCTAGATTCTATTAATAATAGGGTCGAAATGAACAAACAATTTCACTTTTAGTTTAACAATTTCCGTTTTCATAGCACAAATTTAACTACTTTATAAATATTAGGCAAAATTACATAAATTTTTTTGATGTGTTTTATTATTTGCTCACACTCAGGATACACAGAGAGTAAAAGTAGAACGAACTTATATATGATAAAGGAGAAGGGTTATTTAGATAGAGGATACATTTATATATAAAAAATAAGACTTAAACTAAATATGTATTAAAATTGAATTTTCCATTAGATTCATTAATGTTATGATTTGCAAGTAAGAATTAATTTTAATCAGCTTTATCATCAGCATCAGATTTGGAAGAATTTTCACCAGCTGGTGGTTGAGTAGTTTGTGGCGGTGGCTGATTGGGGGGTGTAGGTTGTGGAGCACCAGAGGGACCTGGTGGAGGTGGTCCACCAGCTGTGGCAGCTGGTAATGGTTGTTGTGGTGGTGGTAAGGGATGACCAGATGGTGGTGCACCGGGTGGCGGTTGTTGGCCATAGACATCATGTGGAGGCATATGGCCAGGTGGTGGTAAACCGGGACCGCCTTGTTGTCCCGGTGGTAGTTGCGGTCCAGAATGTTCGCCATAATGTATGGGAGGCTGTAGGGGTGGTGCAGACCCATTATGTTGTGGTGGTGGTCGTGAGTTCATGTAATGTGAGCCGGGTGGTGGTGGACCGTAGGGTTGTTGGTAATGAGAATATGGAGGATATTGACCATAAGGTTGTTGAGGTGGAGGAGGATGAGCCCCATATTGAGGCTGATAGTAGGGGGAACGTGTTGGCCCTGTTGGGGGAGGACCATATTGCGGATAGGCTCCATGTGGAGGCATTCCACCCATAGCTTGATGTGGCTGCATGTGTGGTGGCAAATGGGAGGGTGGTGGTGGTCCCCCATGCTGTGGCGGAGGATGATGAGCATGCATAGGTGGCATGTTAGGAGGAATTTGTTGTTGTGATGGCGGCTGACCAGCTGCTGCTGAAGGTGGTACATGTTGAGCGGCTGGTGGTGGTGCATTAGGAGCTCCACTGGTGGGAGGAGCTGCTGTAATAGTTGGTGGTGGTCCACCACTTACGGCATGAGGAGGACCTTGTGTAGCCGGCACTGGTTGTTCAACTGCTGGAGCAGTGGGTGGTGCTATTGGCGGTTGTAGTTGTTGTTGTTGTGTAATAATAACAGGTGGATTTTTGCCTTTAGGTTTGGCATGCTCTTTGACATTTTCACCCTTATGGCCTTTTGTTATTTCCGTAGGTTTGTGTTCCGTTTTAGGTGGTGGTATGGGAGCGGTTGGTTTCGCAGGTGGCTCTATGTCCATAGGCTCCGGGTCTGTTTTGCTACCTGATTCGTGAGGTGGTTTTGTTTGGGTAGCTGAAGGTGCTGTTGGAGGTGGTGCTACACCACTGGCTGCTTCCTTTTTTGCTTCAGCGGTTAATGAGCCAGCAGCAGCTGCTCCCGCCAAGGGTCCACCCACAGCTGACTTATTGGCAGCCGCATTAGGATCGTCAATTAAACGCTGTCTTTCACGTTTCATTTCTTCATACATACGCTGCACCATTTTCTGGAAAGTTTCATCATCGACGGCAGGTTTACAATGGCGCTTCAGTTCCTCCTGAAAGGCTAAACTCGACTCCATCATACGTTGCTTTTTAGCCTCAAATTTCTCCTCCATTTGTTGCAGTTCAGCTTCTAGTTTTGTCTGGTGCATAGTCAAAGAGCTCACCTGTCTTTTAAGTACTTGCATTCTTTGGTTGGTGACCACAGAACGTACGTCCGGTACCACAGCATCTGAGAAAATTTCATTGATTAAACGATGATTACGCAAATATCTGGCATAAGCGACATGTTTAAAGGAATAACCATCATCTTGGTCATCTTCATCCTCAGCCGGTTGTATATCAATACGTCTTTCCTGCAGACCCTTACCGCCGCCACCTCTTGAGGGTGTTTCGTGTACATCACCATCAGCCTTGGTTTTACTTTTCGCTGCCAAATATGCCAAATAAGCAGGAGAGTTGTGATAAGCTTTCAGATTCTTCTCATACTCGGCCTTATCTGCCTCATACTCATCCACAAATTCTTGTTTTTCAGCCTCCGTTAGTTGTTTCCACATAGCGCCTATTTTCTTGCCCAATTCCCATAACTTCAAATCGGGATGTTGTGCCTTCACACTGTCCCATATCTTTTTCGAATACCTCATGTAGGGCAATATTGGTTTCTCTGGCGGTTTTGGTGCCTTCGGAGCACGACTTTCCGATTGATTTTTGTTACTGGAAGATTTTCCTGCTTTTTGCGGTGTAAAGGCTGGATTGCCATAGTTGCTATGTGTAAATATGGGAGTATTATCTTTATTACGCTCCGAGCCTGCACCGGTACCAGAAGAACGAGATCTGCTACTACCACCACCACTGCTGCCAGTACCGGCTGCTGGAGTGGCGGGTTGTGCTGGAGCAATTGCCTTATAATTGCTGGGTAAAGACATTTTATTGCTTTACGGTTTGTTTTTTATTTTGATTATATTTTCTTTTAATGTTTTTTCTTTAGTTATTTGTGTTAATTTTCTATGAAAAATTATTTTTTCACATACAGTACAGAAAAAAAGCAATATACTTGTCAAATGAAAATTGACGACGCCATTATGCTATTACAATTTTCAAATGTCAAAATTGACAATAACACACATGGTTGTATTTAATAGTAGCAATATATCAATATGGCCAGATTTATACGCTATTTCTAAGTAGCTCCGTTCTAATTGGGAATAATGGGGAAAACTTGTTAGAGATATATGTATATATAAATGTATATTATATGCTAAACGTTTTATATACATATATTTATCAGTTAAATCCCGACTATTTTTAATTAATTTGTATTGAAAATGTGAAATGAAATGAACGATTGCTGAAAAAGGCTGCACTTATGTCCATAGGACACACGACAGTACATTTCATAGCCACAAACCAACCAGATATTTAACCATCTGGCAACTCGCTATCTCTGACACATTGCCGTTAAAAACAAAACAAAAACAACGAAACAGCTGAGAAATCAAAATAAAAAAAATGTTTTGCCGTGGCACGCATATAATACGAAATATTACCAAATATCAAAGAAATTTAAGATATATTTCAACTATAACATGTAGTAGACTGATAAAATCGGCAATAGCTGCAAAAGCTAATACAAATTTGTTGCAACTTCAACGTTACTGCTCTAACCAAAAGCCCACACAACATATTGTAGATTCGGTACTGGATCATGCGACTTACGAAAGAGTTTGTACCGAAACTATGGATGGCCTTAATGACTACTTCGAAGAACTGTTGGAAAGTGTAGAGACCATACCTGGCAGCGATATAGCCTACAGTGTAAGATGAGTTTTCATAAACTTATTAAATACAAGATTTAAAAATTTGCTTTATTTTTTTGGAAAAGGATGGAGTTTTAACTGTCAAACTAGGTTCGGAGCATGGTACCTATGTAATTAATCGTCAAACTCCTAACAGACAAATTTGGTTAAGTTCTCCCACAACTGGACCCAAACGTTATGACTTTGTGGGTCCCGCCACAGGTGAATCAGGCAAATGGATTTATCGTCATACCGGCCAGTCATTGCATGAACTTTTACAGCATGAATTACAAATGATATTCAAAGAACAAAAGGTGGAATTTGAAGATTTACCTTATGGTAGATGAAATGTTTTAATTATGTAATTAAAAATATATAGAACAACTGAAACAGCAATATTAACTTATGAAGGCAAACGTTTTATTAGTTCTTGTAATAATTGATTTTGCTGTTCCAGAGCACGTTCTTGTAGTTGTAAACTTTTCTCTAATAAAGACATTTTTTCACGATGTCTACGTTCTTGCTGTTGATTGTAGTGATATAAAGTAAAATCATGTTTTGTTTTAGGACTGTTTGGAAGAGTTTCTGTTAATACTTCTTTGATTTCGTAGTAATCATTTAATCTTTGTTTCCTGGGTGCAGGCTCCTCTAAACAAGGTTCTGTGTCTGACAGTATTCTTTTTTTAGCTTGTGATTGCTGATCTTCAGGTGAAATTAGAGTTGCTTTATTACTTTTAGTATCTGTACTAATTTTTCTGCTTGTTTCTTCTTCTTGAGCAATTACTTTACTGTCTTCTATGTTTAAACCATCTTCCATCGCCTGTAATTCTTTCTCCACCATATCTATAAATTCATGTTCTTTATGTACAATCTCCTCACTTTTAAAATCATGTAATTGATTTTCATTACTCTCTAATTGCTCCAACTGCAGTAATATTTCATCTTTATAATAAACTCCAACTTCTTTTGAATCACTTAAACCTTTTAAAATATTTTCCTTTCCAGGATCTTTATAAATTTCATGTAACTGCTCGAAATAATCAAAATGTTCCACATCCTCTTTACTTTGAACTTTAAAATATTGTTCCCTTAAACTTGCATATTTGTGCTGTATTTGATGTTCATTAAATTCAAAGAAACTTTCTTGCATATCTTTGGCTATGTCATGCCATATTTGACTCACTTTAACCGAACCATCTTCTGGGTTGAAACCTTCATATTTAGTTTTATACAAATCCAAAAGGCAGTGTATAGCATTGGGATAGAAATTATCTTCCAAATCATTTTTTTCATTCGGCTCTTCTATATATTCCTCTACATTGGGAGTTTCTTCCAAATATTCTACGTTTTCTATTTCAAGATCATCCTGAGTACCGGCAGCTAGTGGTTGTATCATATGTTGTTCATCTCTAGTGTTATCAGATTTCTGTATTAATTGTTGTTGTTCTTGAATATATTGCACTGTTACTTTGGCACTACGATTTTCTATAGAATTTGTTGTAAATATTACAATTTTAACAAATTTAAAAATTATTTGAAAATAAAAAAAACTTACCTGTTGTTTTATTTAAATTATTATTCTGCGTTAAATGCTTTTTACGCATCATTTTAGTACTTTGTGGTTTAAAGTAAAAATAACAAAATTGTAAACAATGTCAGTTGTAAGAAGAAGCACCAGTGATAAACAACACACAGTTGTAATAAATAGTAGTTTTCAACAAAACAACATTGCACAAACCGTTAATTCAAAGTGAATGAATGAACAGAAAATGAACAATGCAAATTATTTCAAATTTTTTGAGATTTTAATATAAAAATTAATTTAGTCTGAAATATGAACACAAATGTAGCTCCTTAATGATTTAAGTTTTTCATACCAAAAAAAATCACAAATCAAGCTCCTTTTTTAAGTCCTTCATGATCAAATTTCTATTTTTAAATTTTAGATTCTTTGAGTTTTTATCCAAAAGTTTAATTTTCCCGGAACTTTGATTACAAATTGATCTTCTATTCGATATATACTTACGAATGCAATAAGCATTTTAATTTCCATATAGTAGTTACTACTTTTATTTATTTTTTAATATTTAGCTTGTATTTTATTTAAAAAGAATGGCATAAATATGTATTTAAGTTTTTGTTTAATAACACCGCAGCAACGTTTTATTCGTTTTATTTAGATAACGAAGTTATATTTGCGAAAATAATGTCCGCAGTAGGTTGAGTGTGTCCTTAGATTATAAATCTTTTACTTTTATTCAAACAATTACAAGAAAAAAAATGGAATAAAACTTTTAGTAAATAATTTAAGCAAAATGAAATTGCTTTTATGAAATTCAGATGAGAATAAAAAATGATAAAGAAAATAATATATTTACTTTGCAAAATTAAACGTTTTCTAAAAAAAAAATGAAATTTTGTGGGAAAATAATTACAATATTTTCCATTAACGATTAACCTTTAGTTTTGCAAAACGAGTATCCTTAAATGTAATTTATTTCAATTGTTAATGTTTTGTTTATATAACTAGTCTTATTTTGTGATATTGAAATTTTTATATAATGAGAAAAAAGCTTTTACAACTTAGTTGCGGCCTTGTCCATACATATTGTAGCCCATTTGTTGGGGTGGCATGCCATAACCTTGCATACCAAATTGTTGCATATTTTGAGGTGGTATTTGTTGTTGACCTTGGGGCCATTGCTGATAGCCGTCGTAGGGATTTTGATTATAGCCACCCATGGAATTGTAGTAATTAGCTTGAGCAGGATTCATTTGATTATAGGGACCCGGAGGATAGGCCTGATGTTGTGGCTGCTGCTGTTGTTGCTGATAGAATGCCATCTGATTGGCATGTTGTGTTGGTGGCACTTGTGTTTGCTGCTGTTGATGAGGTGTTGCGGCGGCTATGGGTGGCACTGGTTGTGGTTGTGTTGTTGGTTTTGCTGTAGAGGAGGAGGGTGATGCCTTATTGGCCGAATTGGAGTTGCTTTGCTGTAAAGAGCCCATTAGATTGGCAATTAGATTTTGTGTATCATTCAGAGAAGTCTTGAGACCAGCAGGATTAAATGTCAAAGCACTGGGTGATGAAGATACGGGAACTATGGGTGATTTAGATTGACGCGAATGTTCTTCAGACAAACGATTGACATTGCTCGAGGCAGCCTTAAATACATCCTCGAAATTGTAATCATCATCGTCATCATCATCTAAACTAAATTTATTGGGATTAACACGTCTTCGGCCGCCGCCACTGTCGTCATCATCATCATCATCATCTTCTGTACCCGGCGGCAAAGCATTGTGTGCTTTTCTACTGCCCGAGGGAGGAGTATCCTCGTAACGTGATTTAGATCTTGAAGAAGTTGAAGATTTTGTGGGTGTACTATCGGAGGTTTTGTGCGATTTGTTGGAGGATTCTTTGGAGCCTGTTAGATCTGAAATATTAACAAATTTCCTTAGTTTTTCAACACGTCCAGGATCGGCCGATTCCAGTTTCTTGAGATGGGCTATCAAATGATGTTGTTCCTCACTAGATAAGTGTTTGAAATTTTGTAATAATGTCTGCAGATCAGAATCTGTTAGCGATTCCAACATACTGCTATTGTTATCGTTTCTAGCTTCTTTATCATTTGCCACCACTTCACTTTCCATATCCTCTTCCACCTCTTTAACCAAAGCATTTACTTCATTTTCTAGCAAATCATCTACAATAGCGGGTAGGTTTGCCAGTGATAAAGTCGGTTTTGGCAGTTTACTTATTGCTATACCCAATGCCGGTAAAATATCATTACAGCATAAACCCTTACCATCATCTTCACGTTTGGTTTTGTTCAATTTAACCATTAAAATAAACATATAGATTAATTTATCCATATCGGCCGTCGAGACATCTTCACGACCCTCCATAACCAAGGCAGCCGCCAATTTAGTGGCCACTGTCTGACGATCAAAGGGTAAATCTTTAATATTCGGTCCAGTTGCATTCTTATTTAGTGTCTTTTTAGCTATGTTGCTCGCACCATCATTGTTGTTTTCAGTTTTATCTTTAGAGCTGGAGTCCGTAGAGGGTCCTAGAGATATGAAGAAATTTTTAAAGAAAAAATTCTGATAGGATTATTATTGTAGAGGTGGAATGTATATGTATAAAATATTACTTATTTTTTGCAATTTAAATAATTACTTTTTTTTTTTTGCATTCATTTCTTATAATCAACTGATTAAACTATATGTCACTTTTAACTTCCGAAAATCGTTTGTAAATATATCGAGTAAATTGAAAAATTTATTATAATAATACTAATAACAATTTTTAACGCACTTCTAGTTTGGAAAATTTATAATTTTATCGCGAGTTTAAAAAATAGACGATAATAAACGCCATTTTTATTATTTTTATTATTATATTAACTTAATAAGATCTTCTTATACAGATCAAACTCTCATACCGATCGGAGTGGTTTCCATTCGCTGTTATTTTACTATTCAATTTCACTTTGAAAACTGAAAGTCATTTAGTTCCGTATAAACTATTTGTTTTTCATTTTCTGCATAATAAAAGAATGAAAATAATTTCAGAATTCGATCGCATTGGTATTATGTGACTGAACTGTGCTAATAACAGAGAGCTTTCATATATTTTTAGTTTATAAAAAATCATAATTCGATATTAACTTTAACTGAAAAACACAATCATAGATTAAAGTCCGCTTAAATTTGTTTCAAGTTTAATCTAACATCAAGTTAAGCCTAGTTTAACTGAGTAGTAAGAAACCCGCCCTAAATGTTAAACATCGACAAATTTTGAAAAAATTGATAATAATAAATATAAATTTAAGATAAGTTATTAGTTAATAACTCATTATATATGATAAGTATTAATCTTAAATTTTTATCATAGGTTCAAAACCGATTAATATATTAGTTAAAAATAAAAAAAGTTTTATATACATATAAGTAATTATAACTGAATAATGTCAAAGTTTTCATTAATTTTCTAAAAAAAAATAAATCACATTATTTGTTACTTCACCAAAAACGAATGCAAATTTCGCCAAAAATATTTTTCAAAAAATAAATCACGATGGCAACACTTTTTTTAAAAAAAGTATTTTATAAAAATTAACACAAATATCGCACAAATCTGTCACTATAGAAGATTTAAAGATGTTAACTCCACAAAAACGTTTAAAGTATTCACTAAAATATTAAAATTTTGTTTAAAAGCCATTTTTTTTTTTTCGAAAAATAAATTACGACGGCAACACTTCGCACATTTGTTTTGTTTCAAGAAATATTTTCAATATTTTATTAGAACACTTTAGCGTAAAATGTTTCACTTTTAGTCTAAAATAAACAATATTTTTTTCAAATACAATAATCAAAGACACACTTTTCGGTAAAAATTTGTATTTTTCACTAAAATTTATATGGAAATAAACACTAAAATGTAAAATCAGCATTTTAAACAATTTTTAACTTGTTAACAATAGTTTCAGTTTAAAAGCTTTTACAATTTCATATTAAAAACTAGACCCAATATAAAAACTCGACTCGATAAAAAAAAGTGATCGATTTTTTAACTGAAAGAAAACTTTTTGAATCCTAAATTTTTTTTTTTTTTTTTTTGATCAAGGAATAAAATTTGATAAATTGAAATCGATTCGTTTAAAACAATTGAGTTGTTACAAAATTGTATTGTTATTCCGCTAAAGTTTTTCTAAAATTTTGGGAAACAAAAACGTCGTCAAATGGGTTAGGGTTACCCCTAGCCACTCCTGTTTGAACATATGTACATATGCATGTCCTAGGAGGAACTTAATCGTCATTCCATAAATTCTATCGACTCTATTCAAAACGAGTCGATACTTCTCGTTTAAGTTTATTTTATGAGTCTACTCTCAAGATCACTATTATATAGTAAAGTGATAATTGTCTTCACTCTAGTTTACAAAAATTAAACACAACAAAAGACAATTACAATTCGTATACATTGACTCTTTATCGATTTTCGTAATGATCGGGTCTCATTTGACCCTAGCGCCCATACAAAGTTCTTTTCACAAAATTACTAGAAATCTATTAATTCACTTATAAACCCTAGTATCACAATGAAATTCTCCATAAACAACTTTAATGTAAACGTAAATCACTTAACCAAAATTTATAAGTATAGGTCCATATTTATTTACCATAGGCCCCATATAACACTTCTTTTATCTTTTCACATTTTTTTGTCAACAAATTGTTAAAATATTTCGGAATTAAGGTAAAAAAAAAACAACTTTAAATGCTATATTATTAAAAATAATCCACATTTTTAATATACTCACTAGTGGAGGGTATAATATGGTCGGTGGACCATGCCCAACTATACATTTTTACTTTTTTTAAAATTACACCATTGAAAAGTTTATAAAATTGTTATAAACTACGCAATTTTAAAATCGACAATTTTACACAATTAGTTTTGTTTTGTTTTTGAAATTTGTTGCATAACATTTTCGATTACAATCACATCCGATTTTTTCTAAAGTTTTATAAACCGTTATAATAACTTTATATCACTTTAACACAATTAACTCACAATATACCGGACACTAGAAGTTTGAAGATGAAATTGAAATTTATTATTTAACACAAAATATGTACAATATTGTTTGTTCCAAAATGATTGATAATTCCTTAAAGGATAGATATATTGATATATAAGATTTCAATTAATAAAATAATATTTTCAAAAGATTACAGAAAATTTGAACATATTTTATGTAGACATGTTTTGATCGTAAACGACTTTTAAATATAACGAAAAATCCAGGACAATTATCGTTTAAATTTTTCTATAAAACACAGCTTAAGTAAACTATAATTGCCAAAATTTACTTTCCAACAAAAATGTCTAATTGATCAAATTTTAAATTTCTTACCTAAAAAAGTTTCATTGCTACAGAGATTTTATTTGATTTAGAAATGTAAACTGTAACACTTTATAAACATCTAAAAATGCCATTAAAATGTTAACCGCACATTAAAAGAAACGTTATAAACCGTTAAAGAAAAACGAATTCCTTTTACTAACTTACAAAAAAAAAAAAAACTTAAAGAAGTAAATATCTAACTAAAACTAATAAGCATACTTATTATTAAACTAAAAGATATCATTAAACTTAAGGTTTTCTTAAATAACATTAAAAATAAAATATAAAAACAAAAACTATCTTTAACTTACCTTTAGTGGTGACCTGATGTATAAGAGCTGCTATATTTTTAATGGCCCTTTTAACAGCTCTCACTTTTTGCTGATCGTCCAAGACGTCGGCAATAAGTAAACCTTTTAGTTTTTCCTTTATGGTTTCGAAGAAAACACAATGATCATCGTTCATTAGTAAATCATCTGATGAATTGCCTTTGAGTTTTTCTAAAGCCAAAGCTTTACCCAACATATCCACCACTTTGGGACCCAAACTACCCAAATGTTCTTCGAGTGCGGTTAGCAGACGCAAGACAGCAACAACGGTTAGTGGTCCTTCGGGTTCTTCTTCTTTGGGTTCTTCTTTAGGTTCTTTGGACTGTCTATACTCAGGTTCTTGATATTTGGGTATTTTGCTAGAATCTAAAACGCGATAGTGAGCCGTGGGTGGTGGATAGTGTGGTGGCACGGTGCTGGTTGGTGGATAACGTGAAACACGCGCATAAGGATAATAATCTGAAGGAGGATGTTCTACACCATAAGGCCGTATGGGATTATGATGTTTCTTGTGTAAGTGTTTGCTAGAGCTGGACGGTTCAAATTCATCTGAAAATGGTGAAAGAGAACGAGAACGTGAGCGTGAACGGGAGCGTGAACGAGAACGCGAACGTCTATAATCACGATGACGTGGACCGCGTGGAGAACGTGAACGCGATCTAGTGCGTGATCGTCTTGATCTAGAGTAACGGCTGTGATGAGGAGAGTCATCATCACTAATATCAATAACATCTGCTGCCGGACCACCCCGGGGATTTGATTTGTTTGGCAAGCGATTTACCGGCAGTTTATATTTTTCTTTAAGTTGATCCACCTTTTCCTCAGCATCTTCGGGTAGTCCCAGTTTGATTTTAATCTCTTTTTTCTTTTTATCTACCTCTGCATTGAAAAGTTCCTTCATACGTTTTGTCCAGAATACAATCCATTCTGGTTTGTAGTCATATTTATTGGGATCAACTTTCTTTTCGGCCTGTAATTCTTTATAGCGGCGATTCCAGAATTTTTTCCATTCCTCCGGATAATGAGGATGTTTTTCGGGAGCTTTTTCATAGTCCGCCTGTATTTTTTCCATTTGTTTTAGTTGTATTTCCAACATACAACGATATTTTTCCCATTTATAACGTTCTTGAGCAATGTGAGAAGCCTGCAAAGACAGTTCCTTGGGAGTGGGTAACTTTTTCTCTGGCTCTTCTGAGTTAAGAGGTGAATCGCGCTTTTTATTAGTAAATGCCGGCTGCTGACCACGTGTTAGTTTGGGTTTTTTCACCGTATCTTGATTATCAGAATCCGATGATATTTCATCTAAACCATCTTTAACGGCCAATATATCATTAGCCGGTGAATTATTGTTTACCCGTTTGGGGGCCTTATTAATCTCATGTTTCTTAAAGGGAGGCTTTTGTTCCCACAGGGTGCGATCAATGGCATTTAGAAAATTTGGTCCATTTTTTTCATCGAAATGTTTCTTTTTCATAATTTGTTCGGTTAAAATGGTTTTGCGCTTGCGAAAATCATCAGCATTCATAACCGATACCAGCAAGCGTCCATGATGATCTTCAATGGCTTCGGCTAAACGTTGTACAATCAATATCATGATATTATGCGAATTGGGTTTGTACTTAACCGGTTGACATTCCCTTACGGCCGAGGGATAATGCTTTTCTAAATACTTCATGCGATGATTAAAGGAACACCAGTGATTTATAATGGTACGTGGATCACCACGTTTATCACACAATGTACACAAATAGCCCGGTTCATGGCGATCATCTTCGTGCAGTTCTATGGTGTATTCAATGCCTATCAAGGCATTGCCCTTATACTGATCTATCGAGGCCTGTATTTGAGGCTGCCGATTTACCTCATCTTCGAAACCAGGTGGCACTGGTTCACCGGGTATTATATTCATTGTTTAGTTTTTTTTTAATAAACACTGTATTTATAAACTTTTCTTTAAAAATTTAACAAAACGACCGTAAAATTCTATTAACGCAAGTTTTTTTTTTAAATAAAATTAATTTTATTTAGTTTTTTTCTATTGTTTTTAACACCTAAAATGAAATCAAAACTCAGCATTATTTGTAAACATATACATACACATATTTGGTAGATAACATTGGTCCACTTACCCTTACAAAATTGGCAAACTTTTGACCGTGTGTCTGTTGGTACGTAACACTAGCGCAATAATAAGTTTTTTGTCTGTCGCACTTTTTGTGTGTTCTTTGTGTATATTGCGTAGTGTTCACCGTCGTTGCTGCTGTAAAATTTTGATCACAAAAATTGTTATATTAAACATAAACAATTACTTTAATTTCACTTTTTCTATAAACTAGAGTTTTCAATTCTTATTAATGTCTAAATTTTTGGCATTTTTTAGTTATTTAAATATAATAATTTTACCAAAAAATAATTGGAAAATTTATCAAGAGAAAAATGTATGCGTTTTTCTTTTACCTGTCAAGAGAGTATGATGGCTTGTGTTTGACAACGTTGCCAACCTAAATATTAGAATAGTTAAAAACAAACTACACGGTTGCATAAATTTGTACTAGTAGTATTTGTAAATAACGGTTTGAAAAAAAATTCAATATGTTTTTGTAAAAATCAAATTTTTTATGCAAACAAACAGCAAGTACAACAGATTTGCACAAACGCCGCTTGTGTAGTCTATTTGGGACTTTAAGCGATGTTAAAAAAATTATATAAATTTCGATAACAAAAAGTATTTGAGGGTAAACTTTAGTATTTAAAACCGTTTTTAATTTTAGTATTGTAATTTTCTTCGAAAAAAATATCTGACATTAACATCTTCTCTAGAAAATTTTAAAAATATAAAATTTTTTATAGAAAATTTTCAGTTTTTAACATTTTTTTTAACAGTTTCTTAAAGAAAAGTTAAAGTATTGAACTTTTTATATAGAAAATGTTTAGTTTTGAAAATTCTAAAATAGTAATTTTAATGAAACATCTTTTTTTATTAACATTTATATTTTAGTTTTTATTTACTAACATTCTAGTACATATAATTCCTTAAAGTTTTTTTTTTTTTCATTTGTTTACTATAATACTAATTAATTCATACCTAAGTTGAATTTTTTATTGAACAATTTTTGTTCTCCAAATTATTTAAATTTCTCAATTTCTGTTTTAAGTTTTTCCTTCTTTATTTAACTAAGATTTTTTAGTGTACTAAAAGTTTAAAAAATCAGTATTAACAAAACTTAAAGAGATTCTCAAAACTTGAAAAGGTTTTGATTTTAACATTTTCTTTTTTCTTTCAAATAAAAGTACAAAAAAAAATTAAATTAATGATTTGTGGAAGTGCGTTGTTTTACTTAAAAATGAAAGAAAATTAAAAAAAGATTTTAATAATAAAAAATATAAACAATTACTTAACTACTAACACTTACTACTAGTAAAATGTTCTTAAATGTTTTAGGATGAACCAGCGAGTTAGAAGGGGAGGAGGTGTGTTAGTGGTGGTGGGAGTTTATTATATCCTTTTTAGTTTCCGGAATTTAATCAGGCAAATCAATACTTATAATGGGTACCACGGGTTTCATACTATCATTTTTAGCCGATTTTTTACTCTTTTTGTCATGTTTATCAAAATCACCCATATGCACGGTACTCGAAGAGGAGCCACCATCTAAGGGCTGTGATTGTTGTGCATTACTGTTGTCAGCATGGTAGGAAATATTACCATATTCTTGCAGGAAAGGCATAGCAGAGAGTAGGAATTGACTGAATGATTTACGTATGCCAAACCACCATTTATTTCCACCTTTAGCGCTAAAACTTAGAACAATTAAAGCAAAGATAGAGGCCAACAGCGGAGAGAATATGACAATGTAGGGGAACTTCAATTCTCCTTCAAGTTTATCGCAAATGACCACCTAGATCAATAGGAACAGTTAGTGAGTGCGTTAGTTAATCATTATATATAGTTATTAATACTTACTTGTAAGAATAACAATGGCAAGACCGTGCATATATTACCCACTGCTGCATTGAGGGCAGCTTTCTTCTGTTGCAGAGAAATTTCTGGGGTACGCATCATGATTCCACAAAATATAATATTATACAAAACACCTAAATATTCACAAAAAGTGACAAAAATTATAAAAAATTATTAACAAAGAATTCGTTTCTTTACTTACTAACTAAACTTAAGCATATAACAATCCACATTGGCACAAACACCACCTCCCAATTCCAGGTAACAAATTGATCCAATTTCAACGGTAATGAAACGAACTGCAAAGCATTTACCGCTAAAAACAGTTCCAGCTCAAAAGAACGATCATGTTTAACAGCCCAAACACAAGCACCCACACTGGCCACCGAGCCAAATATCAAAGGTATAAAAACTAAAACCCACAAATGACGTTTAGAGGTTAAATTATCGCAGGCCAATAACTCAAACATCAGTAAAATCAAATGCAAGGACAGGGAAATTAACATGGCCTTAAACTGTGTATAGGAATCACCTTCAAGTCTAATTTAAAGAAAACTTAATAAAAATATAATATTTCAAATAGTTTTTTTTTAAGTATAAACCTGTAGTGAGGATAACGACACCATACTATGGCTCCTACTGTAGCACCCAAGGCCGCTATAGTTTTCCAAATCCATAAAGGTGTAAAAATAGCCCACCAAGGCCAATCTTGAATAAAAAATTATACATAAATTTTACATTTCTGTAAAAAATAATTTCAGCAGACTCACCTATGTAACCATCTAACCGCAGGGCAAATAATGTTACAAACGTAAATAAACTACAGTGTACTATAAATTTACTAGAAGAAAAATATCACAAATCACTATCAACTTTTCTAAAATGAAAATTTAATTTGTCTCTATACTTACCTAGGATTAAAATCACGAAATAATGACTGTAAATTCATTGTTGTTGATTTTTCTTATTTCTATTTACTTTGTTTCTTTCTATATATTGATGTAATATTCCTATTAGGAAGGTTACTAATGGTGTACACCACCAGTTGCTTTTGGGGTTTTGCTGTGGTTTAATGAAAATTTATTACTTTTTGTGATATTTTCTTTATGTTTTCAATTAATGGATTACTTGTTTATGTATTTGTTTAATTCCCTGTAAAGTTTTCTTTAGTGAAATCCATATTTTATTAATTTTTTTTTCTAAATATCAATAAGAATAGTAAAATGCACTATTTCAGCTGTAATATTTTTTTACACAAATAATGAGAAAAAAGAAATGAAATGTCAAAACAAAGTAAATAGAGAGTACGTAAATGGCAGAGTTGTAGAAATAAGTATTAAGAGTAGTAAGTAGTGAATGATGGCAACAATACATTTGGTTTGATAAACTGCTAACCGAGAACAAATTTTTATAGTCTAATTATTAGACTAGACTATAGATTAGAGTACAGACTAGACTATAGCCTAGACTATAGACTAAATTATAGACTAAACTATAGCCTAGACTTGAGACTAGATTAGAGACTAGACTATGGACCAGACTAGAGACTAGACTATAGACTAGACTATAGACTAGACTATAGACTAGACTATAGACTAGACTATAGACTAGACTATAGACTAGACTATAGACTAGACTATAGACTAGACTATAGACTAGACTATAGACTAGACTATAGACTAGACTATAGACTAGACTATAGACTAGACTATAGACTAGACTATAGACTAGACTATAGACTAGACTATAGACTAGACTATAGACTAGACTATAGACTAGACTATAGACTAGACTATAGACTAGACTATAGACTAGACTATAGACTAGACTATAGACTAGACTATAGACTAGACTATAGACTAGACTATAGACTAGACTATAGACTAGACTATAGACTAGACTATAGACTAGACTATAGACTAGACTATAGACTAGACTATAGACTAGACTATAGACTAGACTATAGACTAGACTATAGACTAGACTAAGACTAGACTAAAGACTAGACTATAGACTAGACTATAGACTAGACTATAGACTAGACTATAGACTAGACTATAGACTAGACTATAGACTAGACTAGACTAGACTAGACTAGACTAGACTAGACTAGACTAGACTAGACTAGACTAGACTATAGACTAGACTAGACTATAGACTAGACTAGACTATAGACTAGACTAAACTAGACTAGACTAGACTATAGACTAGACTAGACTATAGACTAGACTAGACTAGACTAGACTAGACTAGACTATAGACTAGACTAGACTAGACTAGACTAGACTAGACTAGACTAGACTAGACTATAGACTAGACTAGACTAGACTAGACTAGACTAGACTAGACTATAGACTAGACTAGACTAGACTAGACTAGACTAGACTATAGACTATAGACTATAGACTAGACTAGACTAGACTATAGACTATAGACTATAGACTATAGACTATAGACTATAGACTATAGACTATAGACTAGACTAGACTATAGACTAGACTATAGACTAGACTATAGACTATAGACTAGACTAGACTAGACTAGACTAGACTATAGACTATAGACTATAGACTAGACTAGACTAGACTAGACTAGACTAGACTATAGACTAGACTAGACTATACTAGACTAGACTATAGACTAGACTAGACTAGACTATAGACTAGACTAGACTATAGACTAGACTAGACTATAGACTAGACTAGACTATAGACTAGACTATAGACTAGACTATAGACTAGACTATAGACTAGACTATAGACTAGACTATAGACTAGACTATAGACTAGACTATAGACTAGACTATAGACTAGACTATAGACTAGACTATAGACTAGACTATAGACTAGACTATAGACTAGACTATAGACTAGACTATAGACTAGACTATAGACTAGACTATAGACTAGACTATAGACTAGACTATAGACTAGACTATAGACTAGACTATAGACTAGACTATAGACTAGACTATAGACTAGACTATAGACTAGACTATAGACTAGACTATAGACTAGACTATAGACTAGACTATAGACTAGACTATAGACTAGACTAGACTATAGACTAGACTATAGACTAGACTATAGGCTAGCCTATAGACTCGTATCGATTAAATCCTCGTGTACACTCTAGAGTATAGAATAGACTACATTTATATATTTTATAAAAAAATTAACCACCGTACTTATTTACATGTTGCGCACTGTTTAGACAATATCACAAAAAAGTACGCATTATTTTGGTACAATTTTTTACAACTTTGCTTCTTTGATAAGAAAAATTCACCTCATTAAAATATTGTCTTTAATTTAGCAAATAGTTTTGTTTTTATTAAAAAAGTTAAATATATTTTAATATTTATGGAAGATATTAATGAAAGTGATTGTTGTGGTAATGGCTGTGCCAATTGTGTGCTAAATATTAAACAAGTCAAATCTCTTAAGGCCGATAAAAGTGGTAAACAAAATATACTCAGCAGCTACACACACTTCAGGCTAAAAAATAAAACATTGCACCTGCCTCAAGTAAACGATGTTTGGGAGTTGCACTTTAAATCGAAACATTCCAAAAATAATAAGGAATATATATTGGACATGAATGCTGGCTATCATTTAATGATGCGGAAACCTTTATCGGAAAGAGAAAATGTTGAAGGGGGAAATAATGGAAACGAAATGGCAATTGAACGGAAATTTTTACTACGTCCTTATTCACCATATTGGTGGGATTGCTTGGAAATGGAATTTAAAATATTAGTTAATTTAAAACCACAAGGACCCATGTCGGAATATATACAAAAATTAGAAATTAATGATGAAGTGGAATTTAAAGGTCCCATAGGCTGTTTTGAGCATGAAACAGATGTCAAAGGTGAAAAATGTTTGCTAATCATCAGCCAAGGAGTAGCAGTAGCACCGGTTATAGCCATTATAGAGGAGATATTAAATAATGAGGAAGATTTGTTTAGACTGGTACACATAGCCTGCTTTCAAGATATGCAACATGTGTATTTTAGGGATAAGTTATATGATTTTAACAAATATTGGAATTACAAGGTGCATATTTATTTATCTCGGGAATTATGTGATAATACTGAATGTTTAATTAACCAACAATGCCTAGAAACCTGTGAAAATTTTAAAAGTAAACTTAAATATAAAGAAAACATAAAACCTTTACGGTGTAATGAAAAGGATTTGGAGCAATTATTAGACAAGTTGGAATATAGTAAAGAAAACCTTTTTATAATTCTAGCTGGCAATGGAAAATTTCAATATTACTTTAAGGAATTATTGACACAAACCAGCTATGGTGTGGCGGAAAGTAATATTTATTTGTTGTAATATAAAGCGATTTTATAAAAGACTTTAAAAACTTAATAATAGTGTAAACAATATTTAAATCGTTCGTTATGTAGTATTTAAATCGTTTTTCAATTCGCAGGAGTGCAGCTCATCTAAATACTGCTTCAAGGGTAAATGTCACTGACATTGATGTTTGTGCGTACAGTGTGATGAAGTATTTTGATGCGATAAGAAAGGTGTTAAAAGATCCATGGGCAAGGGAAAGATAATGGTGGAATTCTTTTCGGCCGATATATTATTCAAAGTTTGTAAATAGCGGAGCTGAAAATATAACAAAATTTGAATAAGTAAAATGAAATAAAAAGAGAAAAGTATACACAATGCGCACCTGTAAAGCGGAGGGACTGGCTGATATAATATCTGAAGCCTCCCTTAAAGCTCTGGAGGATTTCATTTCTCCCTCTGCAGCTATCACTTTAGCACGGGCTTCTCGTGCTGCTTCAGCTTCCGCTGCCATGGCTCTTTGCAGGGCGGTGGGTAAAGAAACATCTTTTCTAAAGGAGAGAAATTTACTTCAGAGACTAATGTTTATTAATCACTGTATATATTACTTACATTTCCACTCTCTCCACCTTAACTCCCCAGGGATCGGTGGCCTCATCTAAGGACATTTGCATGGTATGTGATATAGTTTCTCTTTCTGTCAACAATTCCGATAAATTACGTGTACCCAAAACATTACGTAAAGTAGTGGCCGCCAATAGGCGAGTGGAATGACTATAATTTGATACTTGTATAACAGCTTTCAAAGGATCACTAATGCGATAATAAACTACTGCATCTACGGTTACAGTTACCGAATCTTTGGATAATACTTCTTGTGGTGGTACATCAAAGGATACTGTACGCAAATCTACTTTACAATAATCATCGACACAGGGTAAAACAAAGAAAACACCGGGTCCTGATAGAGTTTAAATACAAATTTATTACTTTAGAGTATTTGTTAGTATAACAAGTAGTTTACCTCTTGCTCCTCCACTACGCAAACGACCCATACGAAATATCACAGCTCTTTCATATTCCGAAACTACTTTAAAGCATATAAATATTGAAATGGGAAATGTTAAGACCATTATAATTATTGATATAGTGGTAGCCAGAATTTCTACACAATTCATTTCTTCATTTTCGGCTGTAGTTAAGAAATTAAAATAAAAAATAATATGTATATTAATTATCAGGAAAATTAAATGTTCAATATTTTAAAAGATTATTAAATGTAAATCCTTCTGTAGTATCCTAAATTACCAAAAATCTTTATAAAATATTGACTTACATAAACTAGTTCTCCTTCTCTTAATAAGTGCCATGTTGTTAAATTAATATTTTTTTTTTCAAAACTTAACAAGTTTTTAAATAAACATAATATTCGATTTCCGTTTCGATACGTTCAAAGCAAAATTTATTTTTATATTGCTATTAAAATACGATTAAAAAACATTCTATTACTCAATTGTGTACGAAAACTATGTTTTCCAAATTTTGTAATTGATTTATTTTACATTTATTTTACAAATTCACAACCATATGAATTCATTTAGGCGATGAAAATTGCGATAAAAAATTTTTGAATTTTTCATAGAAAAAGAAGAAAATAAAAATATTATACACTCAAGTTTCAACACACCCTACAAATTAGAGGCATGTGTGTAAAGTTTGGATAATGCATAGAAAATTCAAAATCGGTAGTTTTTCTAACTTATAAACTTTTAATAAATAATCAAGAGAGCACTAGTCTATAGTTTAGTTCTAAAGTCTAATCTAGACTGTAGTCTAGTCTATAGTCTAGTCTATAGTTCAGTCTATAGTTTAGTCTATAGTCTAGTCTATAGTCTAGTCTATAGTCTAGTCTATAGTCTAGTCTATAGTCTAGTCTATAGTCTAGTCTATAGTCTAGTTCTAAAGTCTAGTTCTAAAGTCTATTCTGTAGTCTAGTCCATAGTCTAGTCAATAGTCTAGTCAATAGTCTAGTCTATAGTCTAGCCTATAGTCTAGTCTATAGTCTAGTCGGTAGATTTTTCCTCTAAAAAGAGATTTTTCACTAGAAGATAGATTTTTTGTTAAAAGTTCAATCCTTAACTAAAGTTATTTTTTTTTTTACTAAAACGTAAATCTTCCACTAAAACGAGGATCTTTCACTAAAAGGTGGATCTGCCACTAAAATGTGAATCTTTCTCTATAGATCCCTCTTTCACTAAATGGAAATAATTTACTGAAAGGACGATCTGTGGCAAAAACATCGATCTTTCACTAGAAGGTCAATCTTTTGCTAAAAGTTTCCTCTTTTTCTAAATTCATTAAAATATAAATTTTTTCACTTTCACTTGAATATCAATCTTTCGCAAAAAGTTTGACCTTTTACTAAGAGGTCAGTTAATCTATTAATAGAAACTAAATCTTTTGCTAAAAGATCAATCTAAGAGTTTAATCCTGAGTTCTAAAATCTAGTACTAAAGTCTATTCTGTAGTCTAGTCTATAGTCTAGTCTATAGTCTAGTCTATAGTCTAGTCTATAGTCTAGTCTATAGTCAAGTCTATAGTCTAGTCTATAGTCTAGTCTATAGTCTAGTCTATAGTCTAGTCTATAGTCTAGTCTATAGTCTAGTCTATAGTCTAGTCTATAGTCTAGTCTATAGTCTAGTCTATATCTAGTCTATAGTCTAGTCTATAGTCTAGTCTATAGTCTAGTCTATAGTCTAGTCTATAGTCTAGTCTATAGTCTAGTCTATAGTCTAGTCTATAGTCTAGTCTATAGTCTAGTCTATAGTCTAGTCTATAGTCTAGTCTATAGTCTAGTCTATAGTCTAGTCTATAGTCTAGTCTATAGTCTAGTCTATAGTCTAGTCTATAGTCTAGTCTATAGTCTAGTCTATAGTCTAGTCTATAGTCTAGTCTATAGTCTAGTCTATAGTCTAGTCTATAGTCTAGTCTATAGTCTAGTCTATAGTCTAGTCTATAGTCTAGTCTATAGTCTAGTCTATAGTCTAGTCTATAGTCTAGTCTATAGTCTAGTCTATAGTCTAGTCTATAGTCTAGTCTATAGTCTAGTCTATAGTCTAGTCTATAGTCTAGTCTATAGTCTAGTCTATAGTCTAGTCTATAGTCTAGTCTATAGTCTAGTCTATAGTCTAGTCTATAGTCTAGTCTATAGTCTAGTCTATAGTCTAGTCTATAGTCTAGTCTATAGTCTAGTCTATAGTCTAGTCTATAGTCTAGTCTATAGTCTAGTCTATAGTCTAGTCTATAGTCTAGTCTAGTCTAGTCTATAGTCTAGTCTATAGTCTAGTCTATAGTCTAGTCTATAGTCTAGTCTATAGTCTAGTCTATAGTCTAGTCTATAGTCTAGTCTATAGTCTAGTCTATAGTCTAGTCTATAGTCTAGTCTATAGTCTAGTCTATAGTCTAGTCTATAGTCTAGTCTATAGTCTAGTCTAAGTCCTAGTCTATAGTCTAGTCTATAGTCTAGTCTAGTCTAGTCTAGTTAGTCTATAGTCTAGTCTATAGTCTAGTCTATAGTATAGTCTATAGTCTAGGTCTATAGTCTAGTCTATAGTCTAGTCTATAGTCTAGTCTATAGTCAGTCTATAGTCTAGTCTATAGTATAGTCTATAGTCTATAGTCTAGTCTATAGTCTAGTCTATAGTCTAGTCTATAGTCTAGTCTATAGTCTAGTCTATAGTCTAGTCTATAGTCTAGTCTATAGTCTAGTCTATAGTCTAGTCTATAGTCTAGTCTATAGTCTAGTCTAGTCTAGTCTATAGTCTATAGTCTAGTCCTATAGTCTAGTCTATAGTCTAGTCATTAGTCTAGTCTATAGTCTAGTCTATAGTCTAGTCTATAGTCTAGTCTATAGTCTAGTCTATAGTCTAGTCTATAGTCTGTCATAGTCTAGTCTATAGTCTAGTCTATAGTCTAGTCCTATAGTCTAGTCTATAGTCTAGTCTATAGTCTAGTCTATAGTCTAGTCTATAGTCTAGTCTATAGTCTAGTCTATAGTCTAGTCTATAGTCTAGTCTATAGTCTAGTCTATAGTCTAGTCTATAGTCTAGTCTATAGTCTAGTCTATAGTCTAGTCTATAGTCTAGTCTATAGTCTAGTCTATAGTCTAGTCTATAGTCTAGTCTATAGTCTAGTCTATAGTCTAGTCTATAGTCTAGTCTATAGTCTAGTCTATAGTCTAGTCTATAGTCTAGTCTATAGTCTAGTCTATAGTCTAGTCTATAGTAGTCTATAGTCTATAGTCTAGTCTATAGTCAAGTCTATAGTCTAGTCTATAGTCTAGTCTATAGTCAAGTCTATAGTCTAGTCTATAGTCTAGTCTATAGTCTAGTCTATAGTCTAGTCTATAGTCTAGTCTATAGTTTAGTCTATAGTCTAGTCTATAGTTTAGTCTATAGTCTAGTCTATAGTCTAGTCTATAGTCTAGTCTATAGTCTAGTCTATAGTCTAGTCTATAGTCTAGTCTATAGTCTAGTCTATAGTCTAGTCTATAGTGTAGTATATAGTCTAGTCTGTAGTCTAGTCTCTAGTCTAGTCTATAGTCCAGTCTCTAGTCTAGTCTATATTCTAGTCTATATTCTAGTCTATAGTCTAGTCTATAGTCTAGTCTATAGTTTAGTCTAGTTTCGCTTTGTTTTCATTTTAAAACCAATAACAACCATATTTATAAACTATCTTAAAGTAGTGACTTCAGAATTCGTCTTTGACCTACACCAAACTTTTTTTTCCTATTTTATTAAACATTAATATTCCAAGTTTATTTAAATCAAAGCAAATTTTACCGAAATCGAATATATTGATTTATTTTTATATTTTCATAAATTATAATGTTAACATTAAAACAACAATTAGACCATACATTATAAATACAATAAGATGCGCACAAACACAATAAATAATTAAAAGAAAAATATACAAAAATTAAAAAAAAAAAACAATTAAAAATCATATAACAAATATACAAATAGCTGAAGTTAATAAATAGCCACCAAGTAAATTTGTATATTTTTATTCAAATCCTTCAAATATTTTAAGCAAAAAATGCTTATGGCGCGGTATAACCCACCGACTGTTAATTGACAAATTTACTCTTAAATATTAATATAAATTTAAAGAAAAAAATTTTGAAAATTTGTTTAAACTATTTATTTGTTTATTTAAACAAAAATTAAGAAAAAAAAAAACACGGAGAAAAAAATATGAGTTTATTTTTATGCACATGTAGTAATTGATTTTATTTTTGAGATGAATTTACGAGTAAATAGAATTTTCACCTTTTTGAATAATGAAGAAAAACTGATTTTTATGAACACACACTGATAGTTGTTTATACAATTTTAATTAGATGAAAAGAAAATACTAAATACTACTCCATTTATTACAGGTATTTAACAGAGTGTTAAAGAATGGGGAGAACAAATTGAAACTTTAATTTATTAAATTTCATTACACTTTGTTTCAGGCTATAGACTATAGTCCGGAATATAGAAAATAAATTAGATCAGACTCTAGACTATAATTTAGACTATAGTCTAAAATATAGTCGTAGACTACAGTCCAGGCTATATACTGGACTATAATCCTGAATATACATTAGGCTATGGACTAGAATATAGTCCAGAATTTTGACTAGAGTATATTCCAGACTATAGACCATAGACTAGACTAGAATCCCCGATATAAACAAGACAATATTCGACAATATAAACTATACTCCAGACTATAGTCCACACCATAGACTAGACTATAGTCCAGACTATAGAGTAGACTATAGACTAGACTATAGTCCAGACTATAGACTAGACTATAGTCCAGACTATAGACTAGACTAGACTAGACTATAGACTAGACTATAGACTAGACTATAGACTAGACTATAGACTAGACTATAGACTAGACTATAGACTAGACTATAGACTACTAGACTATAGACTAGACTATAGACTAGACTATAGACTAGACTATAGACTAGACTATAGACTAGACTATAGACTAGACTATAGACTAGACTATAGACTAGACTATAGACTAGACTAGACTATAGACTAGACTATAGACTAGACTATAGACTAGACTATAGACTAGACTATAGACTAGACTATAGACTAGACTATAGACTAGACTATAGACTAGACTATAGACTAGACTATAGACTAGACTATAGACTAGACTATAGACTAGACTATAGACTAGACTATAGACTAGACTATAGACTAGACTATAGACTAGACTATAGACTGACTATAGACTAGACTATAGACTAGACGATAGACTAGACTATAGACTAGACTATAGACTAGACTATAGACTAGACTATAGAACTAGACTATAGACTAGACTATAGACTAGAACTAGACTATAGACTAGACTATAGACTAGACTATAGACTAGACTATAGACGTAGACTATAGACTAGCATAGACTAGACTATAGACTAGACTATAGACTAGCTATAGACTAGACTATAGACTAGAACTATAAGACTAGACTATAGACTAGACTATAGACTAGACTATAGACTAGACTATAGACTAGACTATAGACTAGACTATAGACTAGACTATAGACTAGACTAGACTATAGACTAGACTAGACTAGACTATAGACTAGACTAGACTATAGACTAGACTATAGACTAGACTATAGACTAGACTATAGACTAGACTATAGACTAGATAGACTAGACTATAGACTAGACTATAGACTAGACTATAGACTAGACTATAGACTAGACTATAGACTAGACTATAGACTAGACTATAGACTAGACTATAGACTAGACTATAGACTAGACTATAGACTAGACTATAGACTAGACTAGACTAGACTATAGACTAGACTATAGACTAGACTATAGACTAGACTATAGACTAGACTATAGACTAGACTATAGACTAGACTATAGACTAGACTATAGACTAGACTATAGACTAGACTATAGACTAGACTATAGACTAGACTATAGACTAGACTATAGACTAGACTATAGACTAGACTATAGACTAGACTATAGACTAGACTATAGACTAGACTATAGACTAGACTATAGACTAGACTATAGACTAGACTATAGACTAGACTATAGACTAGACTATAGACTAGACTATAGACTAGACTATAGACTAGACTATAGACTAGACTATAGACTAGATTATAGACTAGACTATAGACTAGACTATAGACTAGACTATAGACTAGACTATAGACTAGACTATAGACTAGACTATAGACTAGACTATAGACTAGACTATAGACTAGACTAGACTATAGACTAGACTATAGACTAGACTATAGACTAGACTATAGACTAGACTAGACTATAGACTAGACTAGACTATAGACTAGACTAGACTATAGACTAGACTAGACTATAGACTAGTCTATAGACTAGACTATAGACTAGACTATAGACTAGATTATAGACTAGACTATAGACTAGACTATAGACTAGACTATAGACTAGATTATAGACTAGACTATAGGCTAGACTATAGACTAGACTATAGACTAGACTGCAGACTAGACTATAGTCCAGACTATAGACTAGACTATAGTCCAGACTATAGACTAGACTATAGACTAGACTGTAGACTAGACTATAGTCCAGACTATAGACTAGACTATAGTCCAGACTATAGACTAGACTATAGTCCAGACTATAGACTGGACTATAGTCCAGACTATAGACTGGACTATAGTCCAGACTATAGACTGGACTATAGTCCAGATTATAGACTGGACTATAGTCCAGACTATAGACTGGACTATAGTCCAGACTATAGACTAGACTATAGTCCAGACTATAGACTCGACTATAGTCCAGACTATAGACTAGACTATAGTCCAGACTATAGACTGGACTATAGTCCAGACTATAGACTAGACTATAGTCCAGACTATAGACTCGACTATAGTCCAGACTATAGACTCGACTATAGTCCAGACTATAGACTAGACTATAGTCCAGACTATAGACTAGACTATAGTCCAGACTATAGACTAGACTATAGTCCAGACTATAGACTAGACTATAGTCCAGACTATAGACTAGACTATAGTCCAGACTATAGACTAGACTATAGTCCAGACTATAGACTAGACTATAGTCCAGACTATAGACTAGACTATAGTCCAGACTATAGACTAGACTATAGTCGAGACTGTAGACTAGACTAGTAGAGACTGTAGACTAGACTATAGTCCAGACTATAGACTAGACTATAGTCCAGACTATAGACTAGACTATAGTCCAGACTATAGACTAGACTATAGTCCAGACTATAGACTAGACTATAGTCCAGACTATAGACTAGACTATAGTCCAGACTATAGACTAGACTATAGTCCAGACTATAGACTAGACTATAGTCCAGACTATAGACTAGACTATAGTCTAGATTATAGACTAGACTATAGTCCAGCCTATAGACTAGACTGTAGTCCAGACTATAGTCCAGGCTATAGACTAGACTGTAGTCCAGACTATGGACTAGACTATAGTCTGATATATAGATAATTAGTCTAGACTATTTGGTAGACTATAATTTAGACTATAGTCCAGTCTAAAGTAGAAAAATTTTGATTTCGGTTAAAATTTTTTCAAATTTTTGTAAAAACTAATTTCTTAAATCTCTTGTTTACTTAAATACTTGTTACTCTGTACAGGTACATTTCAATTCCAGAATGTTTATTTAGTTTTTTTCGTTCATTAAAACAATTTGTTTATTATTTTGTTGCAAGTTGTATGTTGTTGTTTTGGAAAGTTTGTCTGGTGGGGGTCGTCTCTATGCGCGCTCGCCTATATTGGTGGTCTACACTATAAAGTTTAGTATTTGTACATGTTAATTTTTCACCTAAGGATTTGTTTTGTAACTTGCAGTGTAATTAATGATTAAGATATTTTTCTTTTCATATGGGAATTTTTCTTGTGGGGATTTTTACTGAGTTTTGAGATAAAAGAAATTCGTTTCGAAAATTAAGTCTTTTAATATATTGACTCATGGGTAATTTATTTTGACTTTTACAAAAGTACCTAAGTAAATTAATTGCTTTAAATTTTAATATGGATAACATGTGTTTTAAGGTCTTTGGCTTGAAAATTTATCAGTTCGAATTACATGGAATGCAATTTCTGTTATCATAAACGCGATAATTGATTTTTATTAAGAAATCTACTATGAAAGTATGATATTTTTATCGGTTTAAACTGGTTTCTAGAAATGAAAACAATTTACGATCTGTCACAAAAGGTAAATTTTTCCTCTAAAAAGAGATTTTTCACTAGAAGATCGATTATTTGTTAAAAGTTCGATCTTTAACTAAAAAGTCAGTTTTTTACCAAAACGTTAATCTTTTACTAGGGTCTTTCACTAAAAGGTGGATCTGCCACTAAAATGTGAATCTTTCTCTATAGATCCCTCTTTCACTAAATGGAAATAATTTACTGAAAGGACGATCTGTCGCAAAAACATCGATCTTTCACTAGAAGATAAATCTTTTGCTAAAAGTTTCCTCTTTTCCTAAATTCATTAAAATATAATTTTTTTCACTTTCACTAGAATATCAATCTTTCGCAAAAAGTTTGACCTTTTACTAAGAGGTCAGTCAATCTATTAATAGAAACTAAATCTTTTGCTAAAAGATCAATCTAAGAGTTTAATCCTGATTAAAAGATTTATCCTCCATTATAAAGAGATTATTCATTTAAGTTAAATCTTTCACTAAAAGATGATCAATCACTAAATTTTTCACAAAAAGTTAATTTTTTCATTAAGAGGTCGATATTTTGTTAAATGATCGATCTTTTATTAAATGATTGATCTTTCAATAAAAGGGTCGTTCCCTAAAGGTTCAATCACTCACTGAAAATAATATTTTTCATTTAAAGATTGATCTTTTCCAAAAATTTTTGATTTTTTCCCTAAAATATTGTTTTTTCACTAAAGAGCGATCGTTTCTTTGATTTTGATTAAAAAGCCGACTTTTTATTAAATTGTTTTGTTTTTCATTTTCACTAAAAAGGGGTCTTTTACTAGAAGCTTAATATTTAGCTATAAGTTCGATGATTCACTAAAAAGCTAATCTTTCATTAAACGATCGATGTTCCACTTAAAAGATATATTTCGCTAAAATGTCAATAATTCGCTAAAAGTTCGATTTTAATTTTATTAACATAACAATCTTTTACTAATAGGTCAATCCTTTCCCTAAAAAGAGTATAAATGTTTAATCTCTCACTAAGAGATTAATTTTCTATTAATAAAAGAGCTTTCACTAAAAAGTCGATCTTTCACTGAAACCAAAAAATAGCAAAAATCAGTGATCATTCTATGATCGTTTAACTTTATATAAAAAAAGAGTCGATTTTTCATTTTAGATATTATTTAAAATAGATCTTTCAATGATTTCTCAAAATTGTTTTTATTAAAATCAATATATTGATCAATATATTGATCAATTTATTGTCAATTGCCACCGTAACGCGAATATATCTTCTAGACAGATATGTTTTACAAATGTATACAAATGATGATTTAAAAATTTTTCCAGTATTTTATATTCTGAAATGTTTACATTAATATTTCATATAAAAATTATTTGGAAATTCAAAATAATTTCCCGCTGACTATTAATTTACTAAAGAAATCTAACTTTTTAACAAAACAGCGATTTATTAAGAGATTGGCGGAGTATCGGTACTAATAGAACTAATCATAATTATTTGATTAAATACTTTAATTATAATTGTTTTTATTAAACACCAAAAGTAAAACCTACAAGTTTTTAATCCTTGATATGTACGATTTGTCTGAGCGGGTATATTTATCGTATGCGATGTCCGTATATCCGTTGTCGGATAACGTATAGTTTCCGGCGGTGAAGTAGCAATACGAGCGCGATTTAAACGAGGAGAAGAAGTGGCATTCATCATTGTATATAAGTTTACTTTTTTTAATATATTAATTTCCTTTTAAACACTAATATTAATAATTTCGATTTCGTTTTTTTTTTTTAATTTTATTCTTCTCCAAATTTTAACAACTTAACCCGCTGAATTCTAAATAGCAACTAAAAAGTTTTTTATCGTAAAAACACCACATTTTCACGGTATTTGCGAAAATAATAAAATTATTTAGTATGAGCAAGAGTTTTTTTTTTCGTATTTGTATACCTTATCGTCTATTTTACACTAAACTGGAGAGAAATTATAAACAACAACAAAAGTTTTTTCAATATTTATATAGTACGAGTACTAGTATATCTTGTGGATAGACGATTTTTACAATATAAAAATATATAGAACAAGTCTATAAGTTTTCCAGCATGATATTTTCGAAAATGTTTACATTAACTTTTCATTAAAAAAAACTTTCTTGAATGGAAATTGAATTTTGTGTTTTTTACACCATATCCAATTTAATTTTGAAATAATTTTGATATTTATGAAAGGATTTTCGATAAAATCTTAATTTTTGGAAACTTTTTTTAAAAAGCTTTTTATTTAAATGTTTATACCCACCATCAAAAAAGATGGTGGAAGGGGGTATATTGATTTTGTCGTTCATGGGTAATACCGGTCCACGTTTTTGGATAGCCCCCATACAAGTGGACCCCCGAAAAACAGCTTTAACGGGCATATCTGTTTTAAAAGTTCGAGTTTTGCGATGAAATTCGACATAAATAAGTTTCATATGCGCCAAAATCTCTATACCAAATTTTATTAGGATCAGTCCATAATTGACCCTACCCCCCATATAAGGTCCCCATCGGAAAATCACTATAACGCTCATTACTGGCTTAAAAATAAAAATATAGCGATGAAATTCGACACACATAAGTTTCATGCTAGTCAAAATCTCTCTACCAAATTTTATGTGGATCGGTCTATAATTGACCCTACCCCCCATATAATGTCCCCTTCAAAAAATTACTTTAACGCTCATTACTGGCTTAAAAATACGAGTATAGCAATGAAATTTGACATAAGTATGTCTCTTACCATCAAAATCCTCTTTAGCAAATTTTATGTGGATCGGTCCATAGGTTACCCCCCATATAAGGTCCCCTTCAAAAAATTACTTTCACTCTCATTACTGACTTAAAAATACCAGTATTATTGATGAAATTTGACATAAGTAAGTTTCTTACGGGACAAAACCTAAGAAACTTTTATAGGAATGTAAATCTTCCTACCGAATTAAAAGCGGAAAGTGTAGGGAACTGATATTCGATGTAAACATGTTTTATATCAACCAAAATCGGTCTAAAAAAGTTATGAAAAATTTTATGAAAAACGGTCAATAATTCAACCTTTCTCTCATATAAGGTCCTCTTCAGTAAATTTGATGAGTAATATCACCCTGATGTTTATAGGAGAGCATTCCTTTTACGGCGTACGGTTTGATGGTGGGTATATTAGATTCGGCATAGCCGAATATAGCACTCTTGCTTGTTTTTTACTTACTTACCTTCAAAGGAGGATGTATTTTACAATAAATCCGAAGAAATACACCTACATCCTCCACCGAGCCTGTTGTGGTATCCTTTACTAGTATTTCTGAACCCTCTGACAGTGGGCGTGGACTTGGTTCACCGCATCTACCGGAGGTTCACTTTATCATTCTTTAAAATGAAATCTTTTAAGAATCTTTCACATAAGGATTTTTCACCGATCTTTCACTAAAAGTTCTGAATTCTTAAAGAATATCAATTACTTTCGGTAATGGTGTTAAATTCTCTGTATTTTGTTTAAAGATTTAATGAAAAATCAAACTATATTTTCTTGTGTTTGTAGTTTTAAGGCAAAAAAAAAGAAAATAGCTTTATTTGTTGTTGGTAAAATATTTCCAAAACAAAAACAACATGAATTTTGACTGTGTATGTATGTATATAGATTTTAAACATCATAGATTTTGATGCTAACCGATTACGTAGCGCATTAAAGTCTTTATTATGATCTGAATGTTTTTATTATACGTATACATACATACATACATATTTATACAAAAGGTGCAACATAAATATTTGGATTTGAATTTGAAAATATAAACGATCCCTAAACGAGTACACTAAACACTGACTTGGCCCACTTCTTTAGGCATAAACATACAATGTGTTTCACTTGATTTGGAAAATAATCAATGACGTGTGTCTAGTACATGTATCATTTTCTTCTCGCATAATTGACACTGTATATGAAAGGAAACTTTGTATATACAATATTGAAGTTTTGAACTAGACGAATTTTTGTTGTACCCTGCAATATAATAAATTGGTAATAAGGAAGTTTTTGGATTAGGACAATTTTATAGGAATTGGACTTAATATAAAAATTTTTCACTTAAACACCTTTAGTGAGAGATCGCCGTATATATTTAACCTCATTGTCTGGACTCTAGTCCAGTCTATAGTTTGGACTCTAGTCCAGTCTATGGTTTGGACTCTAGTCCTGTCTATAGTCTGGAATCTAGTCTAGTCTATAGCCTGGTCTATAGTCTAGTCTATAGTCTGGACTCTAGTCCAGTTTATAGTTTGGACTATAGTCTAGTCTATAATCTGGACTATAGTCTAGTCTATATTCTGGACTATAGTCTAGTCTATATTCTGGACTATAGTCTAGTCTATATTCTGGACTATAGTCTAGTCTATAGTCTGAACTATATCTAGTCTATATTCTGGACTATAGTCTAGTCTATAGTCTGAACTTTAGTCTAGTCTATAGCCTGGACTATAGTCTAGTCTATAGCCTGGACTATAGTCTAGTCTATAGCCTGGACTATAGTCTAGTCTATAGCCTGGACTATAGTCTAGTCTATAGCCTGGACTATAGTCTAGTCTATAGCCTAGACTATAGTCTAGTCTATAGCCTAGACTATAGTCTAGTCTATAGCCTGGACTATAGTCTAGTCTATAGCCTGGACTATATAGTAGTCTAGTCTATAGCCTGGACCATAGTCTAGTCTATAGCCTGGACCATAGTCTAGTCTATAGCCTGGACTATAGTCTAGTCTATAGCCTGGACTATAGTCTAGTCTATAGCCTGGACTATAGTCTAGTCTATAGCCTGGACTATAGTCTAGTCTATAGCCTGGACTATAGTCTAGTCTATAGCCTGGACTATAGTCTAGTCTATAGCCTGGACTATAGTCTAGTCTATAGCCTGGACTATAGTCTAGTCTATAGCCTGGACTATAGTCTAGTCTATAGCCTGGACTATAGTCTAGTCTATAGCCTGGACTATAGTCTAGTCTATAGCCTGGACTATAGTCTAGTCTATAGCCTGGACTATAGTCTAGTCTATAGCCTGGACTATAGTCTAGTCTATAGCCTGGACTATAGTCTAGTCTATAGCCTGGACTATAGTCTAGTCTATAGCCTGGACTATAGTCTAGTCTATAGCCTGGACTATAGTCTAGTCTATAGCCTGGACTATAGTCTAGTCTATAGCCTGGACTATAGTCTAGTCTATAGCCTGGACTATAGTCTAGTCTATAGCCTGGACTATAGTCTAGTCTATAGCCTGGACTATAGTCTAGTCTATAGCCTGGACTATAGTCTAGTCTATAGCCTGGACTATAGTCTAGTCTATAGCCTGGACTATAGTCTAGTCTGTAGCCTGGACTATAGTCTAGTCTATAGCCTGGACTATAGTCTAGTCTATAGCCTGGACTATAGCCTGGACTATAGTCTAGTCTATAGCCTGGACTATAGTCTAGTCTATAGCCTGGACTATAGTCTAGTACATAGTATGGACTAGTCTAGTCTATAGTATAGACTATAATCTAGTCTATAGTCTGGAATATAGTCTAGTCTATAGTCTGGACTATAGTCTAGTCTATAGTATGGACTAAAGTCTAGTCTATAGTATGGACTATAGTCTAGTCTATAGTATGGACTATAGTCTAGTCTATAGTCTGGAATATAGTCTAGTCTATAGTCTGGACTATACTCTAGTCTATAGTACAGACTATGGACTAGACTATAGCATGGACTATAGTCTAAACTATAGTGTGGACTATAGTCTACAGTCTGGACAACAAACTGGACTATATTCTAGGCTATAGTCTGGACTAAAGTCTAATCTATAGTCTGCACTAAAGTCTAGTCTATAGCGTGGACTATAATCTAGTCTATAGTCTGGAATATACTCTAGTCTATGGTCTGAACTATAGTCTAGTCTATAGTCTGGACTATAATCCAGTCTATGGTCTGAACTATAGTCCATTCCATAGTCTGGACAACAAACTGGACTATAGTCTGAACGACAGTCTAGTCTATAGTAGGACTATACTCCAGACTTTGGTCAGTCTAGGCTATAATCTTTAATCTGGACTATGTGTATTCCATAATATGGTCTGTAGTCTGGACTATGGTCTAGTCTATAGTCTGGACTATGGTCTAGCCTATAGTCTATAGTCTGGACTATAGTGTAGTCTGTAGTCTGGGCTATAGTCTAGTCTATAGTCTAGTCTATAGTCTGGGCTATAGTCTGGGCTATAGTCTAGTCTATAGTCTGGGCTATAGTCTAGTCTATAGTCTGGGCTATAGTCTATAGCCTGGGCTATAGTCTAGTCTATATCCTTGACTGTAGTCTAGTCTATAGCCTGGACAATAATCTAGTCTATAGCCTGGACAATAATCTAGTCTATAGCCTGGACTATAGTCTAGTCTATGGCCTGGACTATAGTCTAGTCTATAGTCTGGACTATAGTCTAGTCTATAGTCTGGACTATAGTATATTCTATAGTATGGACTATAGTCTAGTCTAAAGTCTACAGATTATACTCTAGTCTAAAGTCTACAGATTTTATAATATTCTATAGTCTCTTCCAAATATATATTGATGTAATTCATGTGTAGTTTTTTTGTTTTTGGATAATTTTTATTAAAATAAATTCATATAATATAAAGATAATTCTGTCTTTTTTCTTATAATACAAAAATATTATTAGTTCAGGTTTCGTATAAGATTTAATATATAAATTTTTTGAATCATCCAAAATGCTAAAAGTAGAAACACTTACATAATCTTTAAAAATGGGATTTTATACTTTAACGTTTTAGAAAAAAATAATAATTTTTTTTTTTAACTATAAAATACTTTTGAATTTGTTATATATTTTATAACAAAGTTAAACTTAAGAGCTAAAGAAAATATTGATAATGGTGTTATAAAAAAAAGTAGTTTTAAATTTTGGCCACAATTTGTTTTTTTAAAGCAAAGTTTTTGAAAAACTAAAAGCTAAAAACAAGAAGTTATTTTTTTCTTGTTATATATTGCTTATTATTTTTTGTTTTTTAAGAAATATACCAATTTGTTGTGTATAAAAAATAATAAAATATATAATAATGTTGGTGGTTGTATATGTAAAAAAATGTTGAGGGAAGTTGTGTGTTTTATTACAAATCTCACTCCTTGTTTGAGGCAAATAATGAGGATTTTTTATAATTTTTTTTTTTTTTAAAGGAAAAAAGTTTTACTTTTTTACACTTTACTTGGTAGCAACACTATTAGGGAGAGTTTTTAAAAATGTTTTATTTTTTTATGTGGGAGGAAATTTTATAATGCTAAGCAATTTCCGATAAATTCCAAACATCATCATCTTCATCATCATCACAAACATTGGCTGCTTGAAGATGATGACGTTGCTGCTGCTGCTGTTGATCCTCATCCTCATTATTTGTTTGAGCCAATAATAGTTGCCTTTGCGGACAACGATGTCAGTCATTGTACATGCCATCTACCAAAAAATCCATACGGCGATAATGGCGTGTTGACCAACAATCACGGAAACGCCTGTAGGAGGTTATTAAAATGCCAATAACCAAAGGTATTATAAAGATCATAGATACAATGGGTAAAATGAAATCACGTCCACGATGAAAGGAATTATTATTGAATTCTTGTGAAGGTTGAGCATAAGGACCATCGGGTAGTAGGGGTAATTTGTTATTGGTTTGTAGTAGATTTTTCAAATCTGGATTGTCTTTTTCTAAATCGGGAAAATCTTGAATGCTATAGGTAATAGTGGGCTTTTTTGGCTTGGGTGTAGTAGTTGTGGTTGTTGTCGTCGTCGTGGTTGTTGTTGTGGTAGTAGTGGTGGTAGTTGTTGTGCTTGAAGTAGTAGCGGTAGTGCTGTTGCTACTGTTAACTGGCTTATTGGTTGAAGTAGCCTGTGTGCTGGTAATGTTATCATTTTTAAGTTTTGTTGCTTCTAAGGGTGTTGCTGGCGTGGTAATTACTGTTGTTGTGTTAGTGCTTACCTTGGCCGTGGGTTTTGTTGCCTCTTTTGTATTAGTGTTGTCATTTTTATCTTGCTTTGTGCTAACCTCTGTAGAATTCTTGGAATTTATTGAAGACGTAGCTGTTTCATTTTTGCCAATCAAACTACTTTGTGTAGTTACAGTTGTATTCAATATAGTTTTGCTTTCTACAACCTTTTCTTCATCTTTATTATTATTTTCCGTGACATTTTTCTCTGGCACTTTCACATCCACCACACCAGCTTCTGTTAAAATTTTAGTTACTTTGGCTGTTGGTGTAGCCAAGGTTGAACTTATTACTTTCTGTTCTGTAGCATTAGTGCCATTCAGTTTAACAGCCTCCACCTTTGTCTTTCTTTCCAAACTGTCATTGTCCACGGGTGTTACCTTGCGTACTTTGGGTATATTCGAGGCTTCGGTGCCATTAAGTTCGGCCCAAGTTTTATCCAAATTTAGTCCGGTGTTAACTGTTATATCTTTATTAAGTTCTATAACAGTTTTATTTTCTTTACCACTACCATTAGCTGCTGCAATTGTTGAATTTTTTTCTCCTCCTCCTCCGGACACCAACTCTGCGTGGGTCGTTTTGTAAAATGCCACAACACTGAAACTAAACACCAGCACCCATAATTTAAAGGATTTCATTTTATTTGAGCTTTAGTTTTTTGCAATTTTAATAACTAATAGACCATTATAAAGTTGTTTGTTTTAATAATTTACACCCTTTTTTGCGTGTTATTAGTAATTTAATATTTTCTTTTCTTCAAGTTGTCCGTTCTTTTTGTGGTATTTTGTTATGTGTGTGTTTGAAAAAACATCTGACAACGTTGCAATTGTTATGCGTGTGTTTGTTTTTGTTATTTTTGATTTTGTTTTTATTCCATGTGTGTTGATATCAGAGATCTGCGCCGACAAACATCTACGACGGCGGTTATAAGCCGGCTATGTATAATCGTTATTTTTCAAAATTTCAACGGTATTGAATTTTAGCGGTACTAAAACTAAAAAATTAAAATAATTTTCTATGTTTTATTTTTCTACGTTGTAAATAAATAATCTAGACTATAGTTTAGTCTATACTCTATTCTAAAGTTATTAAATAACTAAAATCAGTTTTGTTGCTATTGTTATTTTTACTTTGTATTTATTCCGTACGTGTTGACATTTTCATATACATTCCAGAATGCAGTTTCTTGGGAAGTGTTCGGTAAAACTTTTTTTTTATTAGTTGCAATGATAGTTGGCAATACTAGTACAAGTTTTTATGAAAATTGTACATTTTTGATTTAAAATAGCGGGAAGTTTATAAGTCAAGTGAAATTTAGTTTAAAAATATAAATATAATCGTTAAATAAGTGTAATTCATTCAAAATACATAAAATTATCAGTAAAAATGCAGAAATCTTCTTTTAATTCGTTTTTATTGCTTAATATCCTTTTAAACTGACTGGTTTGTACTAGTTACTTGCCGGAAGTTGTCTGTCCATTAGCTTCTTAAAGAAGTCGTAGTATTTTTCAGGTTGGTTCTTTTTCAATTTTTAAAGTACAGGATTAGATTATAAAGCAAAACATTGTCCTTGTGGAATTGTATTTTGGAAGTTAAAGAGAAAAATAATATACTTTTTTGCATGGCTGAAAAATAATCTAATATTTTTTTACCATGCTTTTTTGTTTGAGTAAAACGTATTTGTCATGTTCTTGCTCTAACCTGAAAAAAGCTATCCACTCAATTTTCTAAATTTTAAGTAAATATTTCAGATTTTTGTTATATGTTAATTGTTATCGTTTTATTTTTTCGACTTTAGTTTTTTTGTTGCAGTTTTAGTTTGGGTCTTGTCAAATTTCATCTCTCTGTAGGTACCATGGAGTTTATCCAACCAACCAAAGACTCCAAAGTTGTAATTGAATCTAGAAAGAAATAGGTATAAAGAAAATAAAACAGTGTTAATCCGTTTTCAAATTAATATATTAAATAAACTTAAACCTACTTGGCATGATGATAGTCATGGAATAACACCGAATCCTTTGAAAATGGAAAAGGCAAATAAAAACCTGTATGATCAGTCATTGAATTAACAATTGCTATCACAGCAAAAGTCCAAGCCACAACAACATGTACATTAAGTGCAACCGCCAGTAAAGCTATGGGACCAAAATTACTCAAAATATGTTCCACCGGATGACAATAGAAAGTCATGACCGCAATTGGAGAAGTCCATTCATGATGTTTTTTATGAAAATATTTATAAATCGAACGATGATGTAGCAAACGATGAGCATAATAGAATAGTACTTCTTCGAGTAGAGTCATTAGTATTAAATCGATAAGATACGTTTTCATTGTGGGCAATTGACGTATGCTGGCAGTTGTACGGTATTGGAAGACTAGTAAATTTCCAATATAGAGTCCCAGGGTTGTGACAACTATTTGATTGAATAGCACTTGTTTGATGGCCTGGAATGTGGGGAATTAATGAATGAATTAATATAATAGGTTTTACTTCAAATATACTATAGTCTGGTATATAGTCTATACTCTAGTTTATAGTCTAATATAGTCTTATCTGCAGAGTAGTCTATTGCTAGCCTATAGTCTATAGTTTAGTCTAGTTTATAATTTATTATGTAGTCTAGTCTATAGTTTAGAATGTAGTCTATAGTCTGACCTATAGTCTAATCTATATTCTTGTATATAGTCTAGTCTATAGTATAGTCTAGTCTTTAGTCTAGTCTATAGCCTAGTCTATAATCTAGTCTATAGTATAGTCTAGTCTTTAGTCTAGTCTATAGACTTGTCTATAATCTAGTCAATAGTATAGTCTAGTCTATAATCTAGTCTATAGTTGCCTCAGGTATTTAATAATAAGTTCTCAAAACTTTGGTTTAACTATAAAAACCCACACATATGAAGATAAGAACTTGACCTTTGTTCGTATATGACTTGCGAAAAAATTAAAATGTTTGAATATTAATTAATAAGTAATTAACATTCTTACCTTCCATAATTTTTGCTTATCTACTGGTTCATTTTGTCCCGGCTGAATTTTATATTTTAAAATCCAACGTGGCTTATTTGTAATATCGATAAAGGTGAAAAATGCAGCATAACTCCAGTAGCAAACTAACATCACTAAAGAGGTACCAAAAATCCATACTAAACTAGGATCGTCAGCTTGAAAATATAAAATTATAAAATTTAAATAATATTTACATATAAATTGAAAATAACTTTAAATATCAAGATTAGTAGTTTGCCAGCTAATATCACATTTTTTTTCAATATTTATTAATGAAATATACTTCTTGATCGCATAGACGCTTTAAATTTTTATAACTTACTAGTTTTATCCAATAGTTTATCCCATACTGCTTGTGTTTGTTCTCCCCACAAATTCCATTTCGTTTGGAAATTTGTGCTAAAATCTACTGTTGTCATGTTTATGTTTTGTTTGCAACTAATTTCTAATATATTTTATTTAAATGTTTTGAGTTGTAGTTCAATAGGCTCACATTGTTTTTTTGTAGTCTATATGAATATTTATTGTGCATAATCTTATCTCGTTTTTTTTTTTTTATTTTTGGATTTCAATTGTTTACTTATTATCAGTCCTCTGTGGTTTTAGTTCTTTGCCTAAATACTTTTTAATCTCAATTATTGATAGTAGATTAAAACTTGTTATTAAGTTAGATTATAAAGTTTGTTTGGAAGATTTGCTACATACGGGGAATAGAGACTTTAGTAAACACTAGACTATAGACTTCAGTCTTTTCTGTAGTTTAGTCTAAAGTCTAGTTTAGAGTCTACTCTATATTCTAGTCTAGTCTATAGTCTTGTCCATAGTGTAGTCTAGTCTATAGTCTAGTCTATAGTCTAGTCTATCGTCTAGTCTATAGTCTAGTCTATAATCTAGTCTATAGTCTAGTCTATAGTCTAGTCTATAGTCTAGTCTATTCTAGTCTATAGTCTAGTCTATAGTCTAGTCTATAGTCTAGTCTATAGTCTAGTCTATAGTCTAGTCTGTAGTCTAGTCTATAGTCTAGTCTATAGTCTAGTCTATAGTCTAGTCTATAGTCTAGTCTATAGTCTAGTCTATAGTCTAGTCTATAGTCTAGTCTATAGTCTAGTCTATAGTCTAGTCTATAGTCTAGTCTATAGTCTAGTCTATAGTCTATTCTATAGTCTATTCTATAGTCAAGTCTATAATCTAGTCTATAGTCTAGTCTATAGTCTAGTCTATAGTCTATTCTATAGTCTATTCTATAGTCTAGTCTATAGTCTATTCTATAGTCTAGTCTATAGTCTAGTCTATAGTCTAGTCTATAGTCTAGTCTATAGTCTAGTCTATAGTCTAGTCTATAGTCTATTCTATAGTCTAGTCTATAGTCTAGTCTATAGTCTAGTCTATAGTCTAGTCTATAGTCTATTCTATAGTCAAGTCTAAGTTATAGTCTAGTCTATAGTCTAGTCTATAGTCTAGTCTATAGTCTAGTCTATAGTCTATTCTATAGTCTATCTATAGTCTAGTCTATAGTCTAGTCTATAGTCTAGTCTATAGTCTAGTCTATAGTTAGTCTATAGTCTAGTCTATAGTCTAGTCTATAGTCTAGTCTATAGTCTAGTCTATAGTCTAGTCATAGTCTAGGTCTTAGTCTAGTCTATAGTCTAGTCTATAGTCTAGTCTATAGTCTAGTCTATAGTCTAGCTACTAGTCAGTCTAGTCTATAGTTGTCTATAGTCTAGTCTATAGTCTCGTCTATAGTCCTAGTCTATAGTCTAGTCTATAGTCTAGTCTATAGTCTAGTCTATAGTCTAGTCTATCTAGTCTATAGGTCTAGTCTATAGTCTAGTCTATAGTCTTAGTCTATAGTCTAGTCTATAGTCTAGTCTATAGTCCCTAGTCTATAGTCTAGTCTATAGTCTAGTCTATAGTCTAGTCTATAGTCTAGTCTATAGTCTAGTCTATAGTCTAGTCTAAGTCTAGTCTATGTCTAGTCTATTAGTCTAGTCTATAGTCAGTCTATAGTCCTAGTCTATAGTCAGTTCTATAGTCTAGTCTATAGTCTAGTCTATAGTCTAGTCTCTAGTCTAGTCTAGTCTATAGTCTAGTCTATAGTCTAGTCTATAGTTAGTCTTAGTCTAGTCTATAGTCTAGTCTATAGTCTAGTCTATAGTCTAGTCTATAGTCTAGTCTATAGTCTAGTCTATATCTAGTCTAGTCTGTCTATAGTCTAGTCTATAGTCTAGTCTATAGTCTAGTCTATAGTCTAGTCTATAGTCTAGTCTATAGTCTAGTCTATAGTCTAGTCTATAGTCTAGTCTATAGTCTAGTCTATAGTCTAGTCTATAGTCTAGTCTATAGTCTAGTCTATAGTCTAGTCTATAGTCTAGTCTATAGTCTAGTCTATAGTCTAGTCTATAGTCTAGTCTATAGTCTAGTCTATAGTCTAGTCTATAGTCTAGTCTATAGTCTAGTCTATAGTCTAGTCTATAGTCTAGTCTATAGTCTAGTCTATAGTCTAGTCTATAGTCTAGTCTATAGTCTAGTCTAGTCTATCTAGTCTAGTCTATAGTCTAGTCTATAGTCTAGTCTATAGTCTAGTCTATAGTCTAGTCTATAGTCTAGTCTATAGTCTAGTCTATAGTCTAGTCTATAGTCTAGTCTATAGTCTAGTCTATAGTCTAGTCTATAGTCTAGTCTATAGTCTAGTCTATAGTCTAGTCTATAGTCTAGTCTATAGTCTAGTCTATAGTCTAGTCTATAGTCTAGTCTATAGTCTAGTCTATAGTCTAGTCTATCTCTAGTCTATAGTCTAGTCTAGTCTAGTCTATAGTCTAGTCTATAGTCTATCTAGTCTAGTCTATAGTCTAGTCTATAGTCTAGTCTATAGTCTAGTCTATAGTCTAGTCTATAGTCTAGTCTATAGTCTAGTCTATAGTCTAGTCTATAGTCTAGTTATAGTCTAGTCTATAGTCTAGTTATAGTCTAGTCTATAGTCTAGTCTATAGTCTAGTCTATAGTCTAGCTATAGTCTAGTCTATAGTCTAGTCTATAGTCTAGTCTATGTCTAGTCTATAGTATAGTCTATAGTCTAGTCTATAGTCTAGTCTAGTCTATAGTCTAGTCTATAGTCTAGTCTATCTAGTCTAGTCTATAGTCTAGTCTATAGTCTAGTGTATAGTCTAGTCTATAGTCTAGTCTATAGTCTAGTCTATAGTCTAGTCTATAGTCTAGTCTATAGTCTAGTCTATAGTCTAGTCTATAGTCTAGTCTATAGTCTAGTCTATAGTCTAGTCTATAGTCTAGTCTAGTCTAGTCTATAGTCTAGTCTATAGTCTAGTCTATAGTCTAGTCTATAGTCTAGTCTATAGTCTAGTCTATAGTCTAGTCTATAGTCTTGTCTATAGTCTAGTCTATAGTCTAGTCTATAGTCTAGTCTAGTCTAGTTATAGTCTAGTCTATAGTCTAGTTATAGTCTAGTCTATAGTCTAGTCTATAGTCTAGTCTATAGTCTAGTCTATAGTCTAGTCTATAGTCTAGTCTATAGTCTAGTCTATAGTCTAGTCTATATCTAGTCTATAGTCTAGTCTATAGTCTAGTCTATAGTTAGTCTATAGTCTAGTCTATAGTCCAGTCTATAGTCTAGTCTATAGTCTAGTCTATAGTCTAGTCTATAGTCTAGTCTATAGTCTAGTCTATAGTCTAGTCTAGTCTAGTCTATAGTCTAGTCTATAGTCTAGTCTATAGTCTAGTCTATAGTCTAGTCTATAGTCTAGTCTATAGTCTAGTCTATAGTCTAGTCTATAGTCTAGTCTATAGTCTAGTCTATAGTCTAGTCTATAGTCTAGTCTATAGTCTAGTCTATAGTCTAGTCTATAGTCTAGTCTATAGTCTAGTCTATAGTCTAGTCTATAGTCTAGTCTATAGTCTAGTCTATAGTCTAGTCTATAGTCTAGTCTATAGTCTAGTCTATAGTCTTCTATAGTCTAGTCTATAGTCTAGTCTATAGTCTAGTCTATAGTCTAGTCTATAGTCTAGTCTATAGTCTAGTCTATAGTCTAGTCTATAGTCTAGTCTATAGTCTAGTCTATAGTCTAGTCTATAGTCTAGTCTATAGTCTAGTCTATAGTCTAGTCTATAGTCTAGTCTATAGTCTAGTCTATAGTCTAGTCTATAGTCTAGTCTAGTCTAGTCTATAGTCTAGTCTATAGTCTAGTCTATAGTCTAGTCTATAGTCTAGTCTATAGTCTAGTCTATAGTCTAGTCTATAGTCTAGTCTATAGTCTAGTCTATAGTCTAGTCTATAGTCTAGTCTATAGTCTAGTCTATAGTCTAGTCTATAGTCTAGTCTATAGTCTAGTCTATAGTCTAGTCTATAGTCTAGTCTATAGTCTAGTAGTCTATAGTCTAGTCTATAGTCTAGTCTATAGTCTAGTCTATAGTCTAGTCTATAGTCTAGTCTATAGTCTAGTCTATAGTCTAGTCTATAGTCTAGTCTATAGTCTAGTCTATAGTCTAGTCTATAGTCTAGTCTATAGTCTAGTATAGTCTAGTCTATAGTCTAGTTATAGTCTAGTCTATAGTCTAGTCTATAGTCTAGTCTATAGTCTAGTCTATAGTCTAGTATAGTCTAGTCTATAGTCTAGTCTATAGTCTAGTCTATAGTCTAGTCTATAGTCTAGTCTATAGTCTAGTATAGTATCTAGTCTATAGTCTAGTCTATAGTCTAGTCTAGTCTATAGTCTAGTCTATAGTCTAGTGTATAGTCTAGTCTATAGTCTAGTCTATAGTCTAGTCTATAGTCTAGTCTATAGTCTAGTCTATAGTCTAGTCTATAGTCTAGTCTATAGTCTAGTCTATAGTCTAGTCTATAGTCTAGTCTATAGTCTAGTCTATAGTCTAGTCTATAGTCTAGTCTATAGTCTAGTCTATAGTCTAGTCTATAGTCTAGTCTATAGTCTAGTCTATAGTCTAGTCTATAGTCTTGTCTATAGTCTAGTCTATAGTCTAGTCTATAGTCTAGTCTATAGTCTAGTTATAGTCTAGTCTATAGTCTAGTTTATAGTCTAGTCTATAGTCTAGTCTATAGTCTAGTCTAGTCTAGTCTATAGTCTAGTCTATAGTCTAGTCTATAGTCTAGTCTATAGTCTAGTCTATATTCTAGTCTATAGTCTAGTCTATAGTCTAGTCTATAGTCTAGTCTATAGTCTAGTCTATAGTCCAGTCTATAGTCTAGTCTATAGTCTAGTCTATAGTCTAGTCTATAGTCTAGTCTATAGTCTAGTCTATAGTCTAGTCTATAGTCTAGTCTATAGTCTAGTCTATAGTCTAGTCTATAGTCTAGTCTATAGTCTAGTCTATAGTCTAGTCTATAGTCTAGTCTATAGTCTAGTCTATAGTCTAGTCTATAGTCTAGTCTATAGTCAAGTCTATAGTCTAGTCTATAGTCTAGTCTATAGTCTAGTCTATAGTATAGTCTATAGTCTAGTCTATAGTCTAGTCTAGTCTATAGTCTAGTCTATAGTCTAGTCTATAGTCTAGTCTATAGTCTAGTCTATAGTCTAGTCTATAGTCTAGTCTATAGTCTAGTCTATAGTCTAGTTTATAGTCTAGTCTATAGTCTAGTTTATAGTCTAGTCTATAGTCTAGTCTATAGTCTAGTCTATAGTCTAGTCTATATTCTAGTCTATAGTCTAGTCTATAGTCTAGTCTATAGTCTAGTCTATAGTCTAGTCTATAGTCCAGTCTATAGTCTAGTCTATAGTCTAGTCTATAGTCTAGTCTATAGTCTAGTCTATAGTCTAGTCTATAGTCTAGTCTATAGTCTAGTCTATAGTCTTGTCTATAGTCTAGTCTATAGTCTAGTCTATAGTCTAGTCTATAGTCTAGTTTATAGTCTAGTCTATAGTCTAGTTTATAGTCTAGTCTATAGTCTAGTCTATAGTCTAGTCTATAGTCTAGTCTATAGTCTAGTCTATAGTCTAGTCTATAGTCTAGTCTATAGTCTAGTCTATAGTCTAGTCTATAGTCTAGTCTATAGTCTAGTATAGTCTTGTCTATAGTCTAGTCTATAGTCTTGTCTATAGTCTAGTCTATAGTCTAGTCTATAGTCTAGTTTATAGTCTAGTCTATAGTCTAGTCTATAGTCTAGTCTATAGTTTTGTCTATAGTCTAGTCTATAGTCTAGTCTATAGTCTAGTCTATAGTCTAGTCTATAGTCTAGTCTATAGTCTAGTCTATAGTCTAGTCTATAGTCTAGTCTATAGCCTAGTCTATAGTCTTGTATAGTCTAGTCTATAGTCTAGTCTATAGTCTAGTCTATAGTCTAGTCTATAGTCTAGTCTATAGTCTAGTCTATAGTCTAGTCTATAGTCTAGTCTATAGTCTAGTCTATAGTCTAGTCTATAGTCTAGTCTATAGTCTAGTCTATAGTCTAGTCTATAGTCTAGTCTATATTCTAGTCTATAGTCTAGTCTATAGTCTAGTCTATAGTCTAGTCTATAGTCTAGTCTATAGTCCAGTCTATAGTCTAGTCTATAGTCTAGTCTATAGTCTAGTCTATAGTCTAGTCTATAGTCTAGTCTATAGTCTAGTCTATAGTCTAGTCTATAGTCTAGTCTATAGTCTAGTCTATAGTCTAGTCTAGTCTATAGTCTAGTCTAGTCTATAGTCTAGTCTATAGTCTACTTTATAGTCTACTTTATAGTCTAGTCTATAGTCTGGTTTATAGTCAAGTCTATAGTCTAGTCTATAGTGTAGTATGTAGTATAGTCTATAGTGTAGTCTATAGTCTAGTCTATAGTCCAGTCTATAGTATAATCTATTCTTGTACATTGTCTAGTATGTTTTTCTTTTATACTTTTATTATAGGGTATGTGCAATACGACTTAAATTCAAGTTTATTTTATTTATGCTTAAGTTTATTATTACACCGCTTCAGATTATGAAAACAAAGTATAATAAGTGTAAAATTTAACATTTTAGTACATCCCAAATCGACAATAAACTATGGACAAAAACACCCAATTGGAAATTTTCATAATTAAATGCTATTTATTATTTCTAATTTATTTTTATTTTTACTTTAATGCTTCTTAAATTCGTCTCTCTATAGGTACCATGTAATTTATCCAGCCATCCAAAGGCACCAAAATTGTAATTGAATCTAAGAACAGCAAATAAAGATGGTAAGTCTTACTTTAAAATATATAAACCTACAATATCCCACTTACTTTGAATGATGATAGTCATGAAACATCACCGAATCACCTATAAAGGCAAATAAAACCCCGAATGAACAGTCATTGAAATAAAAATGGCCAAAATCGTAAAGAACCAGGCAATCACAACATGTGTATTGACAATAGCTGATATTAAAGCTATTGGTCCCAAATTACTTATACAATATTCCACAGGATGACAATAGAAAGTTACAACCGCAATGGGAGCATTCCATTCATGATGTTTTTTATGAAATATTTATAAATCAAACGATGATGTAGCAAACGATGTCCGTAATAGAATATAATCTCCTGTAAGACAGCCATTAAAGCCAAATCGATAAGAAATGTTTTCATTGACGGCAATTGACGTATGGAGTCAATTGTTTTGTATTGAAAACAAAGTAAATTTCCTATTTGGAGGCCAAGAAATGTGACAACTAATTGATTGAATAGGATTTGTTTAATGGCCTGTAGAATTTAAGAATTTTATATAAAATCGTGAAATTTACAGAGTAAAAACTTATAAAATTTACCTTCCATAATTTTCTCTTATCCACTGGTTCATTTTGTCCCGGCTGGATTTTATATTTATAAATCCAACATGGTTTATTTGTAATATCGATAAAGGTAAAAACAGTTGCATAACTCCAATAAAAAACCAATACCACTAATGTACTACCAATATTCCATAGTATCCTTGGATCGTCAGCTTTAATGCAAACAAAATTTGTGTATTGTTGTAGTAGATTTAATTTATTTATTAAAACTTACTTGTTAAATCCAATAGTTTATTCCAGGCCATTTGTGTTTTAGCTCCCCATGTAATCCAGGAATCTTGGTAATATGTGGTTAAATTTGTTGTTTCCATTTGTGTGTTCGATATATTACTATTTAATAATCCATATTGCATTCCACTTTCAAGCTGTAGTTTAATATGCAAAATATTAATTAATTTAAATATTTCAAACTGCTCTTAAATATGTGTTATATTAATTGTTGAAATTAATTTGTTGAAGCTACTAGCTTTTTATGTCGACTTGTTACAATATCATCTAGCTACTAAGTAATAAAACCTCTTTGAAAAATTTCTAATTAGATGATCCAAATTCTGCTAATTTCTCGCACATTATATTATTCATATTTTTGTTTGAGAAATTTCTTTTACTTAACAAAATGACGCCAATCATCCTTTAATTGGCCAATCCTGAGATCCTATAATTAATTAGCTTCAAGATAGAGTTCATGTAATTCGTTTTAACTTAAGGAAGTAATTTAATTAATTTATGTTTAAATGTATGAGATTACAAGAGCAAGTTATTAGGAAAAACGTGCTGTTTTTGACGTTGTGCACCACCAGCTAATAGACAACACTAAGCTACAAAATTACAACGAGTAAATGTAATCAACACGTGATTTATCGTGATTCTAGTCTAGTTTAAAGTTTAGTCTATAGTGTAGTTTATAGTGTAGTCTAAAGTAAAAAGTAGTCAAGTCTATAGTTTAGTCTAGCCTATAGTCTAGTCTATAGTCTAGTCTATAGTCTAGTCTATAGTCTAGTCTATAGTCTAGTCTATAGTCTAGTCTATAGTCTAGTCTATAGTCTAGTCTATAGTCGAGTCGACAGTCTAGTCTATAGTCTAGTCTATAGTCTAGTCTATAGTCTAGTCTATAGTCTAGTCTATAGTCTAGTCTATAGTCTAGTCTATAGTCTAGTCTATAGTCTAGTCTATAGTATAGTCTATAGTCTAGTCTATAGTCTAGTCTATAGTCTAGTCTATAGTCTAGTCTATAGTCTAGTCTATAGTCTAGTCTATAGACTATTGACTAAACTATAGACTAGACTATTGTTTATAGTCCAGTATATTGACTATAGACTACGCTATAGACTAGACTATAGAATAGACTAGACTAGACTACAGTCTAGACTATAGACTAGACTATAGATTAGAATGTAAACTAGACTACAGACTAGACTATGGAATATATTATATACTAGACTATAGACTAGTCTAGTCTAGTCTATAGTCTAGTCTATAGTCTAGGTTATAGTCTTATCTATAGTCTAGTATATAGTCTAGTCTACAGACTAGTCTATAGTTTAGTCTAGTCTATAGTCCAGTCTATAGACTATTGACTAACTATAGACTAGACTATTGTTTATAGTCCAGTCTATAGACTATAGACTAAACTATAGACTAAACTATAGACTAGACTATAGACTAGACTATAGACTAGACTACAGACTAGACTATAGACTAGACTATAGACTAGACTATAGACTAGACTATAGACTAGACTATAGATTAGAATATAGACTAGAATACAGATTAGACTATGGACTAGATTATATACTAGACTATAGACTAGTCTAGCCTAATCTAGCCTAGTCTATAGTCTAGTCTAAAGTCTAGTCTGTAGTCTAGTCTAGTCTATAGTGTAGTCTATAGTGTAGTCTATAGTGTAGTCTATAGTGTAGTCTATAGTCTATAGACTGGACTATAAAGTCTAGTCTAAAGTCTAGTATATAGTCTAGTCTATAGTCTAGTCTATAGTCTAGTCTATAGTCTAGTCTATAGTCTAGTCTATAGTCTAGTCTATAGTCTAGTCTATAGTCTAGTCTATAGTCTAGTCTATAGTCTAGTCTATAGTCTAGTCTATAGTCTAGTCTATAGTCTAGTCTATAGTCTAGTCTATAGTCTAGTCTATAGTCTAGTCTATAGTCTAGTCTATAGTTTAGTCTATAGTCTAGTCTATAGTCTAGTGTATAGTCTAGTCTGTGTATAGTCTAGTCTATAGTCTAGTCTGTAGTCTAGTCTATAGTGTAGTCTATATTCTAATCTATAGTCTAGTCTATAGTCTAGTCTATAGTCTAGTCTATAGTCTAGTAGATATTCTAGTCTATAGTCTAGTCTATAATCTATAGACTAGACTATGACTATGGTAGGAATATAGTAAGGAAATTGGGCAGAGCATGCCCAATTCTCCATTAAACTTTTTAAATCTCGAATGAGGAATGTCTTGAGGAATGATCTTGTAAAGTATTAAATTTGTCTGATAGGTGGCGTATCAGATAGCTTTAAATTTAAAAGGCTTTTGCGAAAATTTTCAAAGTATTTATTTCACTTTATTGTTATTCCCAGATTGGAAACTCTTTTCAGTTTTTGTGTTAAATTTTGTGTATTCATTCTCCACCACTTTGGTTTCCTTGTAAGTACCATGTAATTTATCTAACCAGCCAAACATTCCATAATTAACAATTAAATCTAAAATATTAAAATAAAAATATGAAAAAAAAAACTATAATTCGATTTCGAAAAAAAACATATTCATAACAATTTATCGAATTTGTATGAAAAATTGTCTGCAATAAATTGTTATGAATTTATTTATCTTAAATTAATAACTAGAATTCAAAAACTTACTTGGAATGGTGATAATCATGATAACGTATCGAAGCACCCGAATTCGGAAACGAATATCCACAATGATCAGCCATTGAATTAAGAATGGCCAAAGTTAAAAACAACCAGACGGTAAAAACATGTGAACGCATTAAAGCAAATGAAGTGGAGACTGGAATCAAATTCAAAAAAATATGTTCCAAAGGATGACAATAAAATGTAATGGCAGCAATAGGAGCCGTCCATTCATGATGTTTCTTATGGACATATTTATAATCGATTTATGATGCATCGCACGATGTATATAATAAAAATAGAATTCCTCCAGCAAAGAAACCACAACAATATCCATAAAATTTTGTCTAATGAAGGTAATACCCGTAAGGGTGTAGTGCAGCGTATTTTGAACAAACAATGATATAGTATAAAATACATGGGTATACCGACTAAAGTTGATTCATTAACACATTTAAAATGGCCTGAAAAAAATCAAAATTTTACATAATTTTCCGCTTATAAAGTTTATTAGTAGTATCCTACCGGTATTAATTTCTTGTTATCGACAGGCTCATTTTTTCCCGGTTGTATTTTATATTTTCTTAAAAATTTCGGTCTATTTGTCAAGTCCATAAATGTATACCAACTAGCATTTAACCAATACACCAAAATGAAAACCAAAGTAGTGCCAAAAACCCACACTGTTTGAGGATCATCACCTGAAATTTCCATATATTGAATTTTTAATATTTGTGTCACGTTTTTTATTATAGTTTGCAAAATTTACCGACTAAATTTAAGAAATCATTCCATTTGGAATCTGCTATAATGCCCACTTTATAATAATAGGTCTTTATTTCCTTCAAAATAGTTTCGGTGTCCATGTTAATCACACGATTTAATCAAAACTAAAATCTTTTTCTTGTATTTTTTTTTTGATATTTTTAAAATTGTTTTAAAACTGCAAAAAAAGTGTTTGGTCATTTAAATGCAATATTGATAACATTTGTTATTTATTTCTTTATCAAAAAACCACTAGTGGTTATCAATATAGTCCAAAGTAGTCATTGGTTTATCAATTTTATATTAAAATTTGGGCATATTTTTTAACACCGATATATAAATTTACTTAAATAAAAAAAGTCATTGTCAGAAAAAAAACAAAACATAACTCGAACAGAAGCGGATTAGAACCAGAACAGAACACAACCAGAAATAGAACAGAACTAGAACAAAACTAAAACTAGAACAGAACTTGAACAGAACTAGAACAGAACTAGAACAGAACTAGAACAGAATTAGAACAGAACTAAACAGAACTAGAACAGAACTAGAACAGAACTAGAACAGAACTAGAACAGAACTAGAACAGAACTAGAACAGAACTAGAACAGAACTAGAACAGAACTAGAACAGAACTAGAACAGAACTAGAACAGAACTAGAACAGAACTAGAACAGAACTAGAACAGAACTAGAACAGAACTAGAACAGCACTAGAACAGAACTAGAACAGAACTAGAACAGAACTAGAACAGAACTAGAACAGAACTAGAACAGAACTAGACAGAACTAGAACGAAAACTAGAACAGTAACATAGAATTAAAACAGAACTAGAACTGAACTAGAACTGAACTAGAACTGAACTAGAAACTGAACTAGAACTGAACTAGAACTGAACTAGAACTGAACTAGAACTGAACTAGAACTGAACTGGAAACTGAACTAGAAATGAACTAGAACTGAATTAGAACTGAACTGAACTGAACTAGAACTGAACTAGAAACATAACTCGAACAGAAGCGGATTAGAAACCAGAACAGACCACAACCAGAAATAGAACAGAATTAGAACAAAACTAAAACTAGAACAGAACTTGAACAGAACTAGAACAGAACTAGAACAGAACTAGAACAGAATTAGAACAGAACTAGAACAGAACTAGAACAGAACTAGAACAGAACTAGAACAGAACTAGAACAGAACTAGAACAGAACTAGAACAGAACTAGAACAGAACTAGAACAGAACTAGAACAGAACTAGAACAGAACTAGAACAGAACTAGAACAAACTAGAATAGAATTAGAACAGAACTAGAACTGAACTAGAACTGAACTAGAACTGAACTAGAACTGAACTAGAACTGAACTAGAACTGAACTAGAACTGAACTAGAACTGAACTAGAACTGAACTAGAACTGAACTAGAACTGAACTAGAACTGAACTAGAACTGAACTAGAACTGAACTGGAACTGAACTAGAAATGAACTAGAACTGAATTAGAACTGAACTAGAACTGAACTAGAACTGAACTAGAACTGAACTAGAACTGAACTAGAACTGAACTAGAACTGAACTAGAACTGAACTAGAACTGAACTAGAACTGAACTAGAACTGAACTAGAACTGAACTAGAACTGAACTAGAACTGAACTAGAACTGAACTAGAACTGAACTAGAACTGAACTAGAACTGAACTAGAACTAGAACTGAACTAGAACTGAACTAGAACTGAACTAGAACTGAACTAGAACTGAACTAGAACTGAACTAGAACTGAACTAGAACTGAACTAGAACTGAACTAGAACTGAACTAGAACTGAACTAGAACTGAACTAGAACTGAACTAGAACTGAACTGATCTAGAACTGAACTGAACTAGAACTGAACTGAACTAGAACTGAACTGAACTGAACTGAACTAGAACTGAACTGAACTAGAACTGAACTGAACTAGAACTGAACTAGAACTGAATTAGAACTGAACTAGAACTGAACTTGAACTGAACTGAACTGAACTAGAACTGAACTAGAACTGAACTAGAACTGAACTAGAACTGAACTAGAACTGAACTAGAACTGAACTAGAACTGAACTAGAACTGAACTAGAACTGAACTAGAACTGAACTAGAACTGAACTAGAACTGAACTAGAACTGAACTAGAACTGAACTAGAACTGAACTAGAACTGAACTAGAACTGAACTAGAACTGAACTAGAACTGAACTAGAACTGAACTAGAACTGAACTAGAACTGAACTAGAACTGAACTAGAACTGAACTAGAACTGAACTAGAACTGAACTAGAACTGAACTAGAACTGAACTAGAACTGAACTAGAACTGAACTAGAACTGAACTAGAACTGAACTAGAACTGAACTAGAACTGAACTAGAACTGAACTAGAACTGAACTAGAACTGAACTAGAACTGAACTAGAACTGAACTAGAACTGAACTAGAACTGAACTAGAACTGAACTAGAACTGAACTAGAACTGAACTAGAACTGAACTAGAACTAGAACTGAACTAGAACTGAACTAGATCGGAACTTGATCTGAACTTGATCTGAACTAGAACTAAACTAGAACTGAACTAGAACTGAACTAGAACTGAACTAGAACTGAACTAGAACTGAACTAGAACTGAACTAGAACTGAACTAGAACTGAACTAGAACTGAACTAGAACTGAACTAGAACTGAACTAGAACTGAACTAGAACTGAACTAGAACTGAACTAGAACTGAACTAGAACTGAACTAGAACTGAACTAGAACTGAACTAGAACTGAACTAGAACTGAACTAGAACTGAACTAGAACTGAACTAGAACTGAACTAGAACTGAACTAGAACTGAACTAGAACTGAACTAGAACTGAACTAGAACTGAACTAGAACTGAACTAGAACTGAACTAGAACTGAACTAGAACTGAACTAGAACTGAACTAGAACTGAACTAGAACTGAACTAGAACTGAACTAGAACTGAACTAGAACTGAACTAGAACTGAACTAGAACTGAACTAGAACTGAACTAGAACTGAACTAGAACTGAACTAGAACTGAACTAGAACTGAACTAGAACTGAACTAGAACTGAACTAGAACTGAACTAGAACTGAACTAGAACTGAACTAGAACTGAACTAGAACTGAACTAGAACTGAACTAGAACTGAACTAGAACTGAACTAGAACTGAACTAGAACTGAACTAGAACTGAACTAGAACTGAACTAGAACTGAACTAGAACTGAACTAGAACTGAACTAGAACTGAACTAGAACTGAACTAGAACTGAACTAGAACTGAACTAGAACTGAACTAGAACTGAACTAGAACTGAACTAGAACTGAACTAGAACTGAACTAGAACTGAAACTAGAACTGAACTAGAACTGAACTAGAACTGAACTAGAACTGAACTAGAACTGAACTAGAACTGAACTAGAACTGAACTACTGAACTAGAACTGAACTAGAACTGAACTGGAACTGAACTAGAACTGAACTAGAACTGAACTAGAACTGAACTAGAACTGAACTAGAACTGGACTAGAACTGAACTAGAACTGAACTAGAACTGAACTAGAACTGAACTAGAACTGAACTAGAACTGAACTAGAACTGAACTAGAACTGGACTAGAATTGAACTAGAACTGAACTATTTTATCAATAATTAAAATATACACCACTTTATTGTTGACCTAATAGTATTAAAATATATAGAATCTGCAATTTAGCAAACAAAAATAGAAATAATAAGAAATTAAAATATTTTATTTTATATTCCGTTTTGTTTGTGTTCATAACTTGTACATACAATATGAATATGATTTATTATTATCCTTGTATATACTAATTACATATAAAATATTATTTTATTATTTATCATTATTACACCTACATACAATTAAATTAAAACTATCAAATACTTATCTATTTTCTAATACACACAATTACACTTTTTTGGTATATCTTATATAACTTTTTTGTGATAAAATCATTCGTGAATATTTTGCATTTATAAAAAGTCTTGCTAGAAAACTTTTGATTACTACTACAATAAATTTTATGTTTTATTTAGAACTGTAATTATTACAAATTTTAAAGCTTTTCTTTGCGACCCTTTCTTAAATTAAGGTTGTATTTTATTGGATCCTTTAATACCCTATTCCATTCCATGTAATTTATTCACTTCATAGTGGAATCGGGAAAAGCATCTCGCGGTGGTACAAAACTTAACATCATAAGATGACGAGCATAGGATTTAGTAGCTCGAATAAAGTATCAGTACCATGCAGACGATCCAAAACACCCAAGACACCAAACAATTATTGAATCTATAATTAGATTTAGAAAATTACTGTTAAATTGTTTCTAAGAAATAAACTCACTTCAAATGATGAAAATCATGGGCCTCTGGACTTGGAAAGAAGGGCAAATGATAACCCGAGTGAGCATTTAACGTTGAGAGTATGGCCAAGGCAAACCAGAGCCAGGCGGTCGCCACATGACTGCCCATTAGGAAAACTCCCAAAAATGGTGGAAATAAATTACTAAAATATGTTCAATGGGATGACAATACAAAGCGGTGACAGCAATCGGAGCAGTCCACTCATGATGTTGTTTGTGTATAAATTTATAAATTTTTTATTGTGCAGCAAACGATGTGAGTAATAGAATCCCAATTCTTCCATTAAAATACACACAGTCAATTCGACACACACCCAATGAAATGTCGGCAATTCTCGTATTGAACTTAGACCTCGTAATTTCATCAATTTATAGGAGAGAAATGATATGGGTACACCGATGAAAATTTGATTGCTAATTACTTTCGAGATTACCTAAAATGTACAAAAGTTTATTGAAATAGATTTTCAGTTTGAGGAAGAATGTGAAATTTACTTTTAGTAGACGTGCTCTTTCTACTGGTTCATTTGTACCCGGTTGTTTTTATATTTACGTAAAAATGCTGGTCGATTAGTTAGATCCATAAAAGTGTAGATACCACCCACCAGCCAGTATACAAGCATAGTAAAGATATTAGTGCCAATTACCCAAAAGACCAAAGGATCATCGCCTGGAAGAGTTTAAAGTTAAATTTGTTTATTTAGCTATATTTAATAGTATATCTAAAGTTTATATTCTATAGGTAAGAACAGCACCAGAACTAGAACTGAACTAAACTGAACTAGAATTGAACTAGAACTGAATTAGAACTGAACTAGAACTGAACTAGAACTGAACTAGAACTGAACTAGAACTGAACTAGAACTGAACTAGAACTGAACTAGAACTGAACTAGAACTGAACTAGAACTGAACTAGAACTGAACTAGAACTGAACTAGAACTGAACTAGAACTGAACTAGAACTGAACTAGAACTGAACTAGAACTGAACTAGAACTGAACTAGAACTGAACTAGAACTGAACTAGAACTGAACTAGAACTGAACTAGAACTGAACTAGAACTGAACTAGAACTGAACTAGAACTGAACTAGAACTGAACTAGAACTGAACTAGAACTGAACTAGAACTGAACTAAACTGAGCTAGAACTGAACTAGAACTGAACTAGAACTGAACTAGAACTAAACTAGAACTGAACTAGAACTGAACTAGAACTGAACTAGAACTGAACTGAACTGAACTAGAACTGAACTAGAACTGAACCAGAACTGAACTAGAACTGAACTAGAACTGAACTAGAACTGAACTAGAACTGAACTAGAACTAAACTAGAACTGAACTAGAACTGAACTAGAACTGAACTAGAACTGAACTAGAACTGAACTAGAACTGAACTAGAACTGAACTAGAACTGAACTAGAACTGAACTAGAACTGAACTAGAACTGAACTAGAACTGAACTAGAACTGAACTAGAACTGAAATAGAACTGAAATAGAACTTAGCTAGAACTGAACTAGAACTGAACTAAAACTGAACTAGAACTAAACTAGAACTGAACTAGAACTGAACTAGAACTGAACTAGAACTGAACTAGAACTGAACTAGAACTGAACTAGAACTGAACTAGAACTGAACTAGAACTGAACTAGAACTGAACTAGAACTAAACTAGAACTGAACTAGAACTGAACTAGAACTGAACTAGAACTGAACTAGAACTGAACTAGAACTGAACTAGAACTGAGCTAGAACTGAACTAGAACTGAACTAGAACTGAACTAGAACTGAACTAGAACTGAACTAGAACTGAACTAGAACTGAACTAGAACTGAACTAGAACTGAACTAGAACAGAACTAGAACTGAACTAGAACTGAACTAGAACTGAACTAGAACTGAACTAGAACTGAACTAGAACTGAACTAGAACTGAACTAGAACTGAACTAGAACTGAACTAGAACAAACTGAACTAGAACTGAACTAGAACTGAACTAGAACTGAACTAGAACTGAACTAGAACTGAACTAGAACTGAACTAGAACTGAACTAGAACTGAACTAGAACTGAACTAGAACTGAACTAGAACTGAACTAGAACTGAACTAGAACTGAACTAGAACTGAACTAGAACTGAACTAGAACTGAACTAGAACTAAACTAGAACTGAACTAGAACTGAACTAGAACTGAACTAGAACTGAACTAGAACTGAACTAGAACTGAACTAGAACTGAATTAGAACTGAACTAGAACTGAACTAGAACTGAACTAGAACTGAACTAGAACTGAACTAGAACTGAACTAGAACTGAACTAGAACTGAACTAGAACTGAACTAGAACTGAACTAGAACTGAACTAGAACTGAACTAGAACTGAACTAGAATCTGAACTAGAACTGAACTAGAACTGAACTAGAACTGAACTAGAACTGAACTAGAACTGAACTAGAACTGAACTAGAACTGAACTAGAACTGAACTAGAACTGAACTAGAACTGAACTAGAACTGAACTAGAACTGAACTAGAACTGAACTAGAACTGAACTAGAACTGAACTAGAACTGAACTAGAACTGAACTAGAACTGAACTAGAACTGAACTAGAACTGAACTAGAACTGAACTAGAACTGAACTAGAACTGAACTAGAACTGAACTAGAACTGAACTAGAACTGAACTAGAACTGAACTAGAACTGAACTAGAACTGAACTAGAACTGAACTAGAACTGAACTAGAACTGAACTAGAACTGAACTAGAACTGAAACTGAACTAAAGAACTAGAACTGAACTAGAACTAGAACTGAACTAGAACTGAACTAGAACTGAACTAGAACTGAACTAGAACTGAACTAGAACTGAACTAGAACTGAACTAGAACTGAACTAGAACTGAACTAGAACTGAACTAGAACTGAACTAGAACTGAACTAGAACTGAACTAGAACTGAACTAGAACTGAACTAGAACTGAACTAGAACTGAACTAGAACTGAACTAGAACTGAACTAGAACTGAACTAGAACTGAACTAGAACTGAACTAGAACTGAACTAGAACCGAATAAAAACAGAACTAGAACCGAATAAAAACAGATCAAGGACATAATCAGAACAGAATAAGAACATAACTGAATCAGAATATAACTAGAACAGAACTATTGAACTAAACCAGAATAGAACTGATAAAATAAATTGATTGTATCTATAGTATGGCCCAATACGGAGAGATTTTTAATAGACAAAATAATTACTAACTAGTTCAAAAATATCGATCAGAAATGTTTGGTATTGGATCAGGAAAATTAGAATAAACTTTTTGTCCGAAATAGGCCCCAAAATAGGAAAACAATATGTATGTCATTGAAAAACAAAATAAATTGTTCCGTTATATAGTTTTGAATAAAAACCAACTTAATAAGTAATCGGTCCAAATGAACCCACACATAAACGAACTTGTCGTAGTTTATTCAACTTAAAAATTAGCAGCTAATAACAAGAGAGAAACATATAAAGAGAGTAGAATCATTTGATTACAATTATTATCATTAGAAAAATGTAAACAATAATTGTCTGCCAAATAATTGATATTGCAAATTAGTGGGAGGGTGGGGGTTTCAAGAGATAGAGGGTGTATGTATGCCTCTTATTTGTATGATAATGATTATCATTTCGCTCATTTGTTGCTATTTTTGTTGTGAGTTGAATAAGTAAACAATGGCTGGCACCAAGTAAAAGTGATCAAATTTCTTTGTTATTATTGTTGTGCAATTTCAAAACAAAAACAGTAAAAGATAAAAAAGTCACAATGATATTTAAGTACATTAACGAGTGAAAGAACATTTGATAGTTTTACTAGAAAGTCTAAAATACTTGTTACAGTATATGATTTAGCACTTTAGTGTTAATGTTTGTTTATAATTATTTTGTTATTTGTTAGTTTTACTAATAAGTTTATAAAAATAAAAAAGTAATATTATAATTAATACTTTTAAAAAGGTAAAAAATTTACTTACCTGTTATATCAATAAATTTATCCCATTGTGCCTGCCAAAAATCTCCAGAGGCTCCCCAGAAACTTTGTAAATGCCTGGTGGGTAGTAAAGGAAAATCGGTTAGCTTTTCCATGTATTATTTTTAAATTTTATTTTTTTTAATTTAAATTATTTTTATTTATTATTTTTGCTATTATTTATGCACGAGAACTTTTTTCAATTTAAGTTCCATTCATGTAGATCGTTTAAAAGTGACTGAACTGCGTCATAAAATCATTTCTCGTTTCCATGGGTATATACTACATACATATGTATGTATGTACCTGTGTATGATCAGAGAGAATGAAAACGACCTGTTTATATTATAAAAAAGCATGTTCGTTTTCGTAGTTTTGAGATTCAAAAAAATCTTTCACTTTTGCTCATTTGTAAACAATGGTTTTGTATAAATTTAAATGTATCTAGATACAGTTGTAAAATATCAGTAATTTTGTGAGTTTGAGTTAATATTAATATTTGAGTTATAACAATTGAGTGAAAACAATATAGGATACTCAAGATATACCAATACTAAGCTGCAATAGAATATTTTTCGCAAAATGTTAGACCTCTAGCTCTATCTGTTCTAGTATATAGTCTAGTCTATAGTCTATAGTTTAGTATATAGTCCAATCTATAGTGTAGTTTATAGTCTAATCTATAGTCTAATCTGTAGTCTAGTCTAAAGTCTAGTCTAAAGTCTAGTCTAAAGACTAGTCTAAAGTCTAGTCTACTCAATAGTCTAGTCTATAGTCTAGTCTATAGTCTAACCTAAAGTCTAGTCTATAGTCTAGTCTATAGTCTAGTCTATAGTCTAGTCTATAGTCTAGTCTATAGTCTAGCCTATAGTCTAGTCTATAGTCTAGTCTATAGTCTAGTCTATAGTCTAGTCTATAGTCGTCTATAATCTAGTCTATAGTCTAGTCTATATCTAGTCTATAGTCTAGTCTATAGTCTAGTCTATAGTCTAGTCTATAGTCTAGTCTATAGTCTAGTCTATAGTCTAGTCTATAGTCTAGTCTATAGTCTAGTCTATAGTCTAGTCTATAGTCTAGTCTATAGTCTAGTCTATAGTCTAGTCTATAGTCTAGTCTATAGTCTAGTCTATAGTCTAGTCTATAGTCTAGTCTATAGTCTAGTCTATAGTCTAGTCTATAGTCTAGTCTATAGTCTAGTCTATAGTCTAGTCTATAGTCTAGTCTAGTCTAGTCTATAGTCTAGTCTATAGTCTAGTCTATAGTCTAGTCTATAGTCTAGTCTATAGTCTAGGCTATAGTCTAGTCTATAGTCTAGTCTAGTCTAGTCTATAGTCTAGTCTATAGTCTATAGTCTAGTCTATAGTCTATAGTCTAGTCTATAGTCTAGTCTATAGTCTAGTCTATAGTCTAGTCTATAGTCTAGTCTATAGTCTAGTCTATAGTCTAGTCTATAGTCTAGTCTATAGTCTAGTCTATAGTCTAGTCTATAGTCTAGTCTATAGTCTAGTCTATAGTCTAGTCTATAGTCTAGTCTATAGTCTAGTCTATAGTCTAGTCTATAGTCTAGTCTATAGTCTAGTCTATAGTCTAGTCTATAGTCTAGTCTATAGTCTAGTCTATAGTCTAGTCTATAGTCTAGTCTATAGTCTAGTCTATAGTCTAGTCTATAGTCTAGTCTATAGTCTAGTCTATAGTCTAGTCTATAGTCTAGTCTATAGTCTAGTCTATAGTCTAGTCTATAGTCTAGTCTATAGTCTAGTCTATAGTCTAGTCTATAGTCTAGTCTATAGTCTAGTCTATAGTCTAGTCTATAGTCTAGTCTATAGTCTAGTCTATAGTCTAGTCTATAGTCTAGTCTATAGTCTAGTCTATAGTCTAGTCTATAGTCTAGTCTATAGTCTAGTCTATAGTCTAGTCTATAGACTAGTCTGTAGTCTATCTGTAGGATACTCAAGATATATAAAAAATAGCTTATATAAGGCAATATGAACCAATACTTTTCTACAAATGTTAGACCTCTAGCTCTATCTGTTCTAGTATAGTATAGCTCTATCTGTTCTAGTATATAGTCTATTCTATAGTCTAGTCTATAGTCTAGTCTATAGTCTAGTCTATAGTCTAGTCTATAGTCTAGTCTATAGTCTAGTCTAGTCTATAGTCTAGTCTATAGTCTAGTGTATTGTCTAGTCTATAGTCTAGTCTATAGTCTAGTCTATAGTCTAGTCTATAGTCTAGTCTATTGTCTAGTCTATAGTCTAGTCTATAGTCTAGTCTATAGTCCTAGTCTAATAGTCTAATCTATAGTCTAGTCTATAGTCGAGTCCTATAGTCGAGTCTATAGTCTAGGGGTCTATGGAGGTGCTAGTCTATCGGTCGATAGTCTATAGTCTAGTCGTATGAGTCCTAGTTCTATAGTCTAGTCGAGGCTATAGTCTAGTAGGGCTATGAGTCCTAGTCTATAAGTCTAGTCTATAGTCTAGTCTATAATAAGTCTAGTCTATAGTCAGGTCCCTATAGTCTAGTCTATAAGTCTAGTCCTATAGTCTAGTCTACGTAGTCGATTCTAGTCTAAGTGCCGATAAGACTAGTCTATAGTCCTCGTCTAGTAGTCCTAGTCTAGTAGTCTAGTCTATAGTCTAGTCTATAGTCTAGTCCTATTGTAGATGGTCTTTCAGAAAATTGATTTCCATTTAAGACGCCGACCAGCTAAACCGCCTCCGCTATATGTATATGAAAGGATCCATAATATAATATATAACATACATATATGCACAATATATGTATTATAGGGTGAAATAATTTATTGGGAAAAATGACAAACTAGTAATGACAACAAACTTCCACAAAGGTGAAATTTATAATTATTCGATTATTTGAAGAAGGAGGTTTTAAAATTGAGTTTCCCTTTCTTGTCAAAGTATTTATTTCCCTTATAATGACTTAAATTTTGATACTGTTAGTATTTATAACAATTCCCTTAAATAACACCCTCCCACTGGCTTTAGGTGTAAGTGAACTCGTAAAAAAGTTTTTGTTTTGGTTTATTTATAAATTCTATCAAAAACTACTTACCAAGTAAGGACATTACGAAAAACAATAAAGACGGCCAAAGCACAAGTTATAATAAAAATAACACTGTGTAGCGATGACAACCAACGGGGTTTTTGGGGTTCATTCAATGCCGGTCCAAAAGCTCCAGTATCGAGCGGTGATAGAGTGGGTGGTGACGGAGGTGATCTATTTTTATCATTTAATAATTTTTCGGACATGTTGTTGGTTTTTGTTGTGGTTTCTACAAAATTATTGTGTTGCATATAAATAGGCAAAGAGGATTTTTGGTGGAATCCTTAGCAGCTGCAGGAGCTAGAGAATGGGGATTAATATGATAGGGTGGTGGTGGATGTGTTGGCATTAGTGTTGTTGAAGGTTGTAGCATATTATTAAGATTTTCCATTAAAAATGCATTAGCAACTAGATTGCCTGTATTTGATTTGGACAACATTGAGGACGTTGTTGTTGTCGTTTTCAGCGGTGACGTTAGCGATGAAGTTGATAACGGTGCTGCTGTTTGCTGCGCTGCTGTTGTTGTAGAAGCATTTGTTGCTCCGGCGTTTGTCATTGTTGTTGTTGCTGTTTTTGTATTATTTGCAAGATTTGCCATTTTGTTGTTGTTTTAGTTTTCAGCTTATTTTTACTTAACTTTAGTTATATTTTGCTATTCTACACCTCTACAGGGAAAAATTACAAAAATAAATATAAAAACACCAACAGAGAGTTAAAAGGGTAACAACTATTAAAAAGGAAGTACAAAGATGTTGCTGTTGTTTGTTTTGTAAGAGTATTTGTGTATGTGTTGTTTTTGCTGTTGTTGTGTCTTAGTGTAGTTAAAAATCATCCTTTTAAAGTTGTTGACTGACCTTGACATTTAATGAAGTTCGATTTAAATTTTTCAACACTATAATTTAGTAATAAAAATGTTTAACTTAACTTTTACTTGTTTTAAAAGATTTTGATTAATGAGTTCTAGAACTAATTTTGTTTAATTGTATAATTGTATTTTATTTGTTTTTTCTATTTTCTTATTAAATTTTTGCAATTTTATTGATTTTTTTCTTAGTTTAATGGGTCTTTTTGTATATTTTTCTTTATTATTTAGTTAACTAATCAATAATTTTGTATTTTTAGTACGTTTTTAAGTTTTTTTCTTTTCTTAAGTTTAAAATACAAAATATTTAATATTTTTCAATACTTTTCGCCGACGTAACTTTATTTGATTGCGTATCCCGTTTATTTAATAACTCGTTTAATATCCATTTTGTTTACTTTCTTGGCGTTACCGCGTTACAAACTTTTCATTTTTCTCTTTGTGGGGGGTATGAA